AACCGACGGTTGTTTCTTTGCATATAAATGTAACTTTTTAAAATATTTATACTAAATCATTCTTTATTATCATAATCTCACTTCACTTGAAGTATAAATAGTGTTCACGTGGATTTCCATTTTAAACGTGTTAAGCATTAAATCAGACATTTTGAAGTTATTGCAAGTATTTCTCGGTCAGTTTGCGCTGCCTTTTTGACTTATCTTGCAGCTTATCTCTACCCGAAGGATTTTATCATTCTCTTGATATCCTCTGGAGCGACAATTCTACTCAATTCGATATCGAACCGACGTCATGATGATTCTGATGGGAGTAATGTAGTGGAATTAGTTCCTTACCAAAACATAATTGAAGCCAAGCATATAGTTGCTGGAAACATTTATGTTCAACATGTAACACAACAGTAAGTTCAGCAGTTTTGAATGCGGAATGGCTTGGCTCAGTCTTGCAGGTCCTTGTTGTGTAATACATACCTTTGCACAATAAATATATTCTTCTATACACTGCCAATACGTGTTCTTCCCAATTTTCAAACGTTATATTGCTGAGTGTCATGATATGACGAATCGGTGTTGACAATGATGTAACTTTCACGTAGGATCTTTCAGACTAGGTAGTCACATCATGACAAATCGATAATTTTTGGATTAGGTCCATTTCTAAAGTAGCACTAATATAGAACTAGACTATTATTCCACATAGACAATTGTTTTACACTGTAATCCGTTATACGAGTTCCAGATGATGTTGATAATTTTTTCAAGTGCACCATAGTGTTGAGGAGGGTTCCATAAGGTCCTTCTATCCGCATTGTCAAAAGACTTTTCAAAGTCAAGGAAGTTGATGTATAGTGACGAGTTCCATTCAGTTGATTATCCGCGATGTCGCGATTTGGTTTGTGAACGATCGATTCCTATGGAATCCGATCAGTTGTCAAAACCTTTATTTGGATTTAGATTCAATAAGACTGAAATAGAGTCAGACACTAATGCCAGTGGGCAGTTTAACAAAGAAGAGATACATAATCGAATATGCTGAGGCACTTTACTTGTCTCAGATTTCTCATCAGTTGTTAAAAGTAAGGGCTAGCATAATCTTTGTCAACTGTGTGCTACTTATTACACATATACAGGCTGTCCATTTAAAAATTAAAGAATTTGCATGCTGGATATTAGTATGAAAGTAAACATAGTCCACAAAAGAAGACGACACTCGCACATTGCATTTATTTGAAGTATTTGAAACTTTCCCAGCTGACACATATGCAGGGGTCGCTCCAAACAACTGTTAGTATATAGTGAAATGACAAAACCTATTCCTGTTGGTCCTACAGTTCGAGTGACACTGCTATTGAAACGTCAACACTTAGTATTACAAATACTCTTAAATATATTTTATGTTATTATGCATAACATAAAATATTACTGGATTTTAACAGTTCTATGTAGTTCATAATGTGGGAAGGTCTGTAGGTTTTGCTTCGATATCCAGTGGATTGAATAAAGCTGGTCTATTCAAGTGTTCTACATATTCGTTCCTGTTTTTGAATCTCATTGATTGGCTTTCAATCTTCGTCCTTGACTGGTCTCTCTTGTTTACTGGAAAGGATGGCCAGGGCAGGGTTCTGTGGAGAACGCTGGTGAGCGGCTTTTGGCTACTCCATGAGGGATAACAGGCGTAAGTTTAATAAATTATAAAGAAATGATAATTAATAGGTGTTTGTATTTAATCTTAAACCCTTGACAGATGATAGGTGATGTGAGTATGAATCACCTGATTAACAACACTAAGGATAGGAAATCTTGATAATAACATTGTGTTGGTTTCACCATGTGCTTGTGTTATGTCAATTTAAACTGAGTTAACTCATACAGAAAATTATAGAAAGTATTTCTGTATCAAACTAATTAATCAAATAGAATGAAATGCTAGCTTAAAAAGTCATTTGCTCCTAGTATCACAAAATACTACAAAAAAAGTGTGTTCTTTAGTCAGATACACATTTGTAAACAAAAACCATGTTATGCGGGTCCAAACAACCAATAGGAAGTTCAGTAAACACTTACATTTCAGGAGACCCCAGATGCTCTGATGACACGGGGTCCATGAGATTCTCACACTATAAGTGCATCACACACTTTTTGGACAGTATCAGAGCAACCCTCTGAGTGTACGGAGCATTTTGTTGCTCATCGTCCGAGTACAGCAGCATTTCTCCTGAATCGATTTTTTACTTTCTAGAATGGTTCTAATGAGTTTCACTGATTGCGAGAACTGACAAGTTGTATCTCCTCATTTCAATAGCTATTTGGTTAGTCTTTCCGGTCTCCCGTATTGTCCGAAAATTCCATGTACCTATATTAGTTGTTCTGGTTGATTGAAGGGAAATCGGCCTGGTGACCTCCGAAGATTAACGACTTTCGTCATGAGGCATCATAATTCTTCCTTAAACTCGGAGTGCAGAGTTTAAATGGTTTAATTTGTTTATTATGGTTAGCGTTGTTCTTAGCAAGATTGTTTTCTACCGGATGGTATTGTAGAACATTAACGTTGATGTTCTATGTCTAAATGATTGGAGGGGTCCACTAGAGTTAGACGAGAATGGTGACGAACCAACTAACGCTGAAGTCACACCTCGCGACCAGCACCTTACATGGATTGCCCCCATCGACGTAACAAGGGACTATGGACGCTATGGAGACTGTACAACACAAAGGACGTTATTACAAGAATTTATTAGTTAGGGTACAACCACGAAAGTACAGAAGCGAAAGTACGATCACAGCAGCGTGGGCCAGTCCATGGCGTGTAATTGATTGATGCGCGTTTACTATCCTTGACCTTGACAGGCATCCGTGATCTGTTCGATATTCAGTGACATTTCACTGACCCTACAGTATGTTCACTTCATGCTAAACCATCCTCCCTTATTCGCGCTTGGGACTGGAAGTAGCCCTAGAAGATTTAGAACGGGGGGGCTCGAATGAACTGGCCTTGATTTAACAAAACATCTGTCACTGGAATGGATGTGGCAGTTTCGTTGACATATACTGTATATTCTGTAATTTTTCCAGGTTCATTATCATTATGAACAAGGACAATATGTATCGATGACTAGAATGTTTCATTCTGATTTAATTTTTAAACAGTTTGATGAATTTTTAAGGTACAGTAATTTTCATTTCCTCATTTCAATATTTGTATGCCTTCCATAAATCTTATTCAATACACTTCCAAACATTTCTCCTTAATTTTTCAGCATAACTGGAAATTACGGTGATATTTGCTATGCTTACATACCCACTAAATAAGAATATACAGCCAGTTGTCGCTATGTTTAGGTAGTTATTAGAAGCGTTTTTGAATGGAGATCTCATTGGAATTGGTCTTTTCGCCTTCATTAAATCGCAAAGCAACAAAAGAGGCTTTCAGAATCTGGTCGTATGATTTATTATGCAGCAAGGGGAGTAATTGAGGCACAGACAGATCAGTCATATTTAAAAACACCAGGATTTCACTATTCAATAGAGAAAAATAACAAATGTAATGTCCACATAAAATGAGGAAGGAAATAACTTACTTCTGGCTATAGTCTTTTTGTTCCAACTGCATATTACTGGTCGATTCTCAACTGTTTACACTCAGCTTCGATAGTCTCACCCAGTCTTAACCTCTAATTGGAAAATTGCACGAAACCAAATATGAATAATTTTTAGTGGTAACACAGCAATTTCCAAAGAGCGTTAGTGGCTAAAAGTACATGGCTCAGTAGCTTAACAGTTCCTTAACATCTTGTATATGAAATGTCCCATTTAGTTCTCGGTTAATCGGTCTAGTAACCTCATATTCGTTCATCTCTGTTAATAATAAAGTATGTGATTCCTTTCACTTATCACATCCTTTGTTTGTCTTAAAAGGGTTTGTCATGAATAATGATTGATCCCGTTATAGCAAGACAGCTTCAACATCTAGATGGAAACTTCAGAAGGATTGGATCAGTGATAAATTCCAATTCCGTGTTACACATTTAATCAGACTAAATAACTCAGTGAATCTATGACAGACCATTGACACAAAATTAACGCACCAGTTATTAATGTTCTCAAATCGGGCTATTGATGGCAAAAACTGCCTCATATGGAATCAGATTACATGCTAACATAACAATAACTAAAATCTATCTAACACAATTATACCTTTATAAGATCTAACAACAAATTATCCCAAGACCTCATAAATGCATACCCTCATCTACCGAAAAAGTATTTGTAGAATTCTATTTATCTATCTATGTCTAAGGATGGTTGCTCGAACTAAACTGCTCTTCACAGACAGAACGACGAAACAAATAAGAGAACTTATTAAAATGAAGAATTCATTTTATAAGAATGAACCAAACGGGATTTAAACATGAGATTTCTGGTTAATGATCAAAATTACAAGGAATACACAAAATAGATTGTAAACATGGTATAGTGAAAGTATTAAACATTGAATGAATCTTATCCAAATGAAACCACGAAAAACCAAGTTAATAATGAAGATTACATTTAAATATGTGGTATCAATGTACATCATATATTTTGATTATACAATAGTTTCATACACAGAAACTACTGATATATGAAATAAGTAATAAAACAATTATGCAAGAATATTTTGGACGATGACAATGATAATTAGAATCATAAAAGATGTTAAATTCCACAGATGTAATAGTATATATTGAAGTCTTTATAAATGATGATTTTTTGAATGATGCAGTTGAGTGAGTGGAATATACACAATTTGAATGTACAACAGTTGATGAAAAAAAATAAACAGACAACGATGAGTATGCACTATGAACGACGTGATCAACAGTATAGCTGGTGTGACAAAATCAATGCTATTTATTTATCTGTCTATCTAGTACAAAGTAACTTTGCCATCATTCTTTCCTGATAATAATGTGTATGTGTGTGTATGGGTGTACGATGGTTTTCAAATTATAGTTCAATTATTCACTACGTGATCCATAGGCACGGCGATTATTACGATTCGGATGGTTGATATTATGAGGACGACTTGATGACATGGCCAAATTTAATTTTGGACCTTTATAGAGAGACGAATAGAAAAATGAATATAAGGAAATTAGAAACAATAAAATTTACAAATATTGTAGCCATTACAAGAAAAAACAGTTGTATAATAAATATAAGGAAAGATAATCAAATAATGACGACGACGACGACACAGTTCTTGGTATTAAACAATGAAACTCAGTATTCTTTGGAAATATCGTGTTTTCTCAGCTAGACGGCTTAATCGAGGAACTTTCATTATTATTCTAGACAAAAATATTAAAAATTACTTCACATTGTAAGGATAATCAAATCTCTATAATTAAACCATCCAGCTAAAAAAAACAATGTCATCAAAAGTATCCGCCTGAGCTGTAAATATTCGCCATACTATGAAATATAATATCAACAGAACAAGTTGTTAGTATCAATTGTAAAGGTAATGTTGTTTAGAAAGATAGCAAAAGCTTCATACAATACAAATAGTATCATTACCCACGTTCAGTGGTTGTAAATTATTTCGATGTTATCTATTAAACTTGTTTAATCCCCAAAAACGGAGAATAAATTTTTGGGAATCACTAGCAATAGGAGTAGGGACTCGGAAGTTAGGTTTTGTGCTAGTTGGTACTAGTCATTAGTAAAGCTTATTCTCCTTTTTTTTTTTAGAGAGTTCAAGTTCCCTTGAGGATTCGAACCGACATCACAGTGATAACTAAGTGGTAACTTTTCAAATTGACACTGGATGTTGACAATGATAATTTGAATCTCATGGATCTAACCAGTTTCCTTAAGATTTTGGACACCACTAGCTGACTAGCGGTAAATAATACGAAATCAATATTACAGGATTCAGATAGATTATTTAACAATCAATTAACTACATCAAAATCTAGTGTTATATCCTAGCGAAGACATACTTACAGGTAACTCCCAGGACTATTATTCTTTATGTATTCTTATTGTATAACTATTCAGTAACTAGATTATGTATATCTACATTCATCTTAGTATAAGCTTCATTTTGATCTATGAATTATTGTTATACGATTTACTGTTCCTAAATTATACACAGTTTATTGATTACTGTCTCCCACGCTCCCAGCCACATTTGGATTGGTTTTGTACAAATATTATTTTCTATTTTATGGTGTGATATGGTCTGTCTGTCTAGTACATAAACAAAGTATGCTTGAAATAAACGATTCGCACGGATTCGTATAGATTCGCATAACAGAAGCTGCTATTGGTGTTCTGGACTCAAGTGGACCGGCTAGGCGGATTAATAATACCAATAAGGACGCGAGATTACTCATACTAATCGAACGTCATTGTCACAATGTTAAGGTCGGAGAAGTCGTATTTCTATTGATGAATAATTCACGTGAGTTACGTCCTTGTTTAATTTGTAAGGTCATAACAAATTAGCAACGACCTTGAGCAAGTCATAACACATAGTGAACTACATATGGAGTTATTCAGAGTATCAATAACCACACAATGTCAAACACAATCGAAAAAGTTCGATTATCATAATAAACTATAGATAGATATGATATGATTATTACTCTTTGATCACCTAGTTTAAAGTTGTACATAAAATGAATAAAAGTTCTAATGAATTCAATTAGATTTTCATTACTCTTCACTGCAATACACAACAATATTTATATACATATATGAAAAATATTAAATCAACTAAGGTAGTAATCTAAGGTCACTGATAACAATGACCAAGGGGCACATCCTTAACCATAATAATCGGTATGGGGTTTTGGAGATTGTTGAGTTTCAAGATCACAAATCGATCCAAGTTACATAACCATTGGAAACCCGAAAGCACTGAATGGAACTCGGCATTGAACAGTTGCGAATGCGTGCCTGAGAATCGAACCAATGATCTTCGGTTTCGTGCACGAACACTTAACCCATAGAAGACAAAGACGAAGCACTCGACACAGTTGAACTCCTACTATATGTAACAGATAAGAATCAGGTCCATTAAGGAGATTTGAAAGTATTTGGTAAATCACTGTGTAAATGCTTTGATTCAGTGTTAACGCAACTATTCCTGATCAATTATGACAAAACAGTGATAGAGATATGGATTAAATTTTTTTGACAATTCCTAAACAAAAAATGGCGATTTTGCATATATAAACGGACTATTCACTTTTTATTTATTAACCTACTTCCTATTATTATTTGTTAATGTTGTGCTATTGTTTATCAATCTTACATTGGTTGCTTGCTCACTACTACACGTTACAATATTTCCATTTTTAGATTATGTGAGATTGTAACAAAACAAATCCTCAAAACATTAGGATTACCATCAACTGATATGATTTTAAAAGCGAAGATGGATAGTGACTAGCAGTAGAATCCAGGCTGCGCGTTTCGTCTTATTTGAGACTCGATAGCTGGGATGTACCTGCATCTCAGAGTCGATGTTCACTCTGGGACTTGAACCCAGTATCGTTCGCTCCAAACGCCATCGTGTTATTCATTTAGCTACTGAGTACTGACAACCACCTGTTTGTGCAATGGGGTGAAGTTTTAAATTCATTTGACGTTTTTTACTTGTATCTTCCCATAGACTCTAAGATGCAGGTACATCCAGCTGAGTAGTCCCAAATAAGGTGAAACGCGCGTCCTGGATTCTACTACTAGCCACTATCCATCTTTGTTTATAAAGCTTGTGACCTAAGGCGATATCGAGGCAGTCCGCACAGTATGCACATATGCCAACAAGAGCCTGATTAATGGCAGTCCTAAATAACAATGAGAAGATACAAGTAAACAACACCAAGTCAATTGGATATGACTTAATTTTGAAAAAAGTTACATCACAATACAGAAATAAACACTTACCTAAATAACTAAGATACACAGGTAATATAATAAGTCCTGTGAATGCCCCAAACAATATCATAGATAAATACATACGAAAATAGAAAATTTGAAATAGACGTGATTTTGATGCAGCTAAAACAACAATACCTCCAAGTTTAGTCAATGTGATACCACGAAGGATCTAAATCATAAAACAATAACAGATGAAGAAAAAAAATTCACAAGAAAACCAAAAGGCTGCTAGTTGAAAAGAAAATATCAGAATACCCTCTCCCTCCCGCTTATAAGCATTGTGTTTCTTTAGGCTCCTTACAACTCATTGAAGCCGGTCAGTCTACTCTGGGTGATAGCGAGTTCGACCATCAACAAGAGGATTAGTGTGATTGTAACAATCTGTGAAGCTGATTGAATGCCAATCAATGACATCTGCCGACATCTCCGACGATGGACAGTTCAACTGGCCTGCTGTCCCGACAACATCGATCGGACTGTCCTGTCCTCCATGTTCGGTGACGACTGACCTACCAAATGAGGCAGAAGTCCGCAAGGAACTCCAACTCTTGAAGCTCCACAAATCACTAGGCCCATATGACTTGCCTCTGGACCTTTTTAAAGACGGTGGTAACCTTCTGTTTATTGAACTGGCTGAGTTGTTTACAAATGTCTGGCTATTACCGTGTTTTGACATCCTGGACTGAGTCGATAGTTGTTCCTATCTTTAAAAAGGGTTCACGTTGTTTCTGCAACAAAAATCGGGGGATAAGTCTACTTACGATTGCGTCCAAACTATTGGTTTCTGTCATACTTCGTAGGTTGTTCGAAACCCGAGAAAGAATGACCTCTGAGAAATTGGTTTTCATTCAAGTTGAAGATGCATTGATCATATCCACAACATCAAGCATATGTTAGAACACCACCAAATCTGTTGCAAGCCAACAATCGTAGTGTTTCTTGATATCAGGGTCGCCTTCGACTCATTGAACAAGATCGTTGCCTGGGATTGTCTATTGAAGAAGGGTGTGCCTGTGAAGTTTATTAACATCTTCAAAAGCCGTATATACAAACACCTCAGGTAGAGTGAGAGCATACAACCACCTCTCTCTAGTGCAACTCGGTGGTTTGAGACGTGTTTAAATATGGCTGAGAATAGGAGCTAGTGACGGTCTTTCTATAACTTCTACAAGTGAAATAATTCATTTCGGTTGTACTTTTTTTAATTGAACAGCTTCTCCCATTATTATTGTTTTTTTTACTCTCATACACTAATTACTATCAATACTTTTTATTCCTTTTGGATTATAGTCATCAATCTTTCTCCATCTCTTCACAATCTCACTTTTATTATGTGGAGCAGATATATATGTTGGTGCTCATTTGTACCAATATTTATACGTCTAAATAGATAACTAATGCAATAAGCGCTTATTCTTTGATTGTAACTTGCCTCGTATATATACCATAGTTATCTTACGAATGGGAGTTTTTGAAATGTATATCATGATTATTGATAGTACCGCCTTATAAACGAATTATTTTATTATTTTGATTTCGACCTTTACATGTAACTCATAGGTTTATTCCGAGTGAACTTAACAACAATAGAAGTAGATGATGAAAATAATGAAAAAAACAATATCATTAAAAACACATACACACAACTTACAGAACTACCCATTTCACTAAGAGATTCTTTAGCTCGTTCCACTCGAGTTGGTAATACACTGATTGTAAATGAACGAACTATATGTGCACAAAACTCAACAGATATACCTAAAGCCTAAAATATTGAAAACAAAAAAAAGAGGAAAATTTACATCCTTAACATAAGAGTACATACATTTACAAAACAAAATTGGTGTTAAACTATTCTCATAGTTGAAAGCATGAGTCAATTGAAGCTAGGCCACCAAGGAAAACCTGGACAGTCGTTTCGTCTTATTGTGGGACTCCTCAGCAGTGCGCATTCACGAACCCGCTCTCGCGAGATTCGAACCCAGAACCTACCAGTCTTCCAGGTTTTCCTTCGTAGTCTAGCTTCAATTGACTCATGTTTTCAACTATGAAAATACTAAATCTCTACATAACCCTTTCTGGTTAAACTATTCGTCTATTTTCTAATACCTTAGATGTACTCGTAAATATATCCATCATTTAGGATAACTACAATAAGCATGCCGTAAAGACGTCTCTTTTTCTTATACAACTCACTACTCATTCTTAATAACTAAAACCAGAGTATTAAAGTAAATATATATAGTAAACAATTACGATAGATTATCAACATCAATGTATCATCATGTCAAATGAATTGAAAAGAAAAGAACAAACAAAACTTTCTTTTCTTCAATGGTTTAAAAATCTTTATGCAAAAGTAGAATGAAAGTATATAGTTGACAACAATTTTGTTTATATTTAGTGAATTTATTGATTAGAATCAATAGATATTTGATAGGAGTTGATTTCACAGGACAATTAATCAATGATGTCATAGCAATTGGCGTTCAACAAACATGATTAAATTACCAAGTTTTGATTTGATAATGACAATACTCTTTTTGACAGATGTCCTTTGAGCATCAGCTTAATCATGAAATCTTTAAAACTTTGCTTAAATTCGACTCTATATCACCTTCAACGGAATGTTATACAAACAAACAAATGGTGTAGTAATGGGTTCCCCCCGTGTCCCCGATTGTAGCCAACCTTTTTATGACACACATAAAGAACCAAATATTTTCACCAACGACATTAAACCACGAATTCGGCTTAGATTTGTAGACGGTGCATTTGCAGTGATAAAAAAAGACTCATCTAAAATTGTTTTCAAAACAGATAAATACACTTTCATCTCACATCAAATTCACGGATGAGAACGAAAATGAACATGGTGCGCTACCTTTCTTAGATTGCTTAGTGAAAAGAAATGTAAATGGAGTTCTAAATCTATCCATCTACCGAAAGCCCAAACGCTCTAATCGTTATATTGACTTCCATTCAGCACATCCTTACAGTGGTAAAATCTCATTAACTTTTTAAAAGAGCCAACAAGATCATCACTTCAGAAGAGGACAAACTAAAAGAACAAAAGAATGCAATTAACATCTCACAATTTAATAATTTTCCTATGAAGATTATTAGGAGTATGTTACGTCTGCCGGTTGTGAACGCTATATTTGCTTCCCTAAGCTAGTTCCGTATCCCCGAGTTAGAACTATACAGCAACTTGAAGACCAGAGAAAAGGCACAAAGTATGAGGAGAGCGCTTTACTACAGGATTCATTTATGTACAGAAAATACAGGGGTCTTATAGTAATTAAGAGACCTTGAGTTTCCATAGTAGCAGTGTGTTAAACAGCCAATCAGGATCTCGTTATTTTAGTAGCATAGCTTCTAATTAATCGCTGATTGGTTGGGGCTCTTTATGAGCCTCTGGAGGCTCTGATAGAGTTTACTGTAAGCCGACTTAACAAAGTATATTAAAACAAGACAGTTCAGTACGTAATAATAGTCATAATTCGGATGAAATGCCATGGATTGGTGCTGTAGTTTTACCATATCGTCATGGCACAACTGAAGAACTCCAAAGGATCTTAAGACAACACAGAATTAATGTACATTACAAAACAACGAACACACTTCGAAATACTTTAGTTCGATTAAAAGAAAAAATACCATTCATGCCTACACAGAACTGCGTCTACAAATTAGGTTGTGTCGATTGTGATGCCTTCTATAATGGAGAGTCATCTCGCGAAATCTTGACTCGCGCCAAAGAACATATTAGGTACACAAAGAAACCTCCTAATAATAATAATAGCATTTCACGCAATTTTCAGCAATCATCAAACTGATTTCAAAAACAAAATACTACAGAAAGGTTTTTCCAATTACAAAGAAAGAAGAGTAGCTGAAGCTTTCCATATAATGCTTTATCCCACAGCTCACAATAGAAAGGAAGGCCTTATCATACAGCCTACTTGGACTATCTATCCTAATCACCTAGTCTGATATTATTTACAATTTCACACCATTACATTACAAATAAAACTCTATCCTTTGTCATTATAAAGGTCACACATTTTCATCATTAACAATGCATACATACACACAAAATTACATACATATCCCTTATAAATCAATTTGAACGAAATGAAATGACATGACATTGATCTATTCAGACCTGTTTTTTTGATTGATCACCTAATTGTTCTTGGATTGTTCAGTTGCACTATTTAAACTTGGATTATTGTTCATTTGGTTATTTATTCTCTGAAGAAGTGGCTTACACTGAGTCACGAAACGTCGGAAAATCTAATTTTTCTACTCATTGAGATATTACAAATATATTAATTTATTTAAAACATGGTTAAAGTCCAAGGGTGAAGATATACCACCGAGTGTTCTGGAGTCTGATGGCAGCAAAGTATTTCCTTCAAACAGTAGGCATGTGAGGTGATATTGCCTTCGCACTACGGAAACAAGAGAGCTTAGTAAAGTTCGGTCCTAGAAATAGAATATTTCACCTTACTACAGGGATTTCCATTGTCGGAATTAAGACTTTAAAGGTACGAAGATAACATATCTCAGACTATTCACAAAAAGCTGTGTGTAATCAACCTCAAGCAATTATCTCTTGGAGTTTGTAGTCACGCTCCCAGTCGTCAAAACTACTCTTTAACTTCTTTTCTTTTTCGTATACCTCAAGAAGAAATAACCTTGAATGGTGTGGCCATTCAGGAAGTGACAACCACTCCCATATATATATATAACACCACTCGAGGTCAACCCTACTCACCAATTAATGATCAATGTCATGTTGTTTCAATCAACTACCTATAATCATCTAACATTAAAACGCAATTCAAGATATGGTGAATAACTTTCAAGACACAAAAGGTTTTTCTTCTCAGAAGACCAATTTTATTACTCGCTAGCGTGTGACTGCCTCACTTTTCACGTAAGATTAGTCTACAAATATTTTTATCAAATAGTAGTACAGTTAGGCAGTGCTAACCGACAGGATTTGATGCTACAGCTGATGTTAACTCATGATGAGAACTTAATGTTCTAATAATAAATCCTAATTCCCAACACAAATTTGTAACCTCATTTAAATCCTAGTAAGTGGTTGAAGTTTCTCAACACCACTTTAATATCTTTAAAAAGTCATCCTTAAAATTATGATCTTAGTCATTTATTTATTTATAGAAGGGGTTTTGTGGAGATTTAGTATTTATCATTGTTGAAAGCGTGAATCAATTGAAACTAGACCACCATGGAAAACCTGGAAACACTGGACGGCCGTTTCGTCCTATTGTGAGACTCCTTAGCAGTGCACATCCACGAACCCGCTCTCGAGAGCGAGATTCGAACCCAGGACCTACCAGTCTCGAGCCGAAGCCCTTAACCGATAGACTACTGAGCTGGTCTATCGATTAAGGGCTTCGGCTCGAGACTGGTAGGTCCTGGGTTCGAATCTCGCTCGCGAGAGCAGGTTCGTGGATGCGCACTGCTGAAGAGTCCCATAATAGGACGAAACGGCCGTCCAGTGTTTCCAGGTTTTCCATGGTGGTCTAGCTTCAATTGACTCACGCTTTCAACAACGATTTATTTATTTATTTGAACACATAAATATTGGTACAAAAGGGCACCAGATACATATGCGCCACACAAATCTCATTCGATTTGTATGAAGGCTGGGATACTGCCCAGGTGCCCAAACTGAAGCAGGCAGTTTTCTTAAGGGGCCACACCCGGAGCCTTCGACCTAAAGGTCTAACCCACAAGGCAGTGGAGCATTGTGAAGAGATGCAGTCCGATGGTAGCCAGTGACCAACGGTTGGTTCATCTGCCATTTGTTCCCTCAGGATACTGGAGCCCATGTGCATCATTGGTTTGGAATCAGGGTTTTCCAACTTCCCTAGGTGGACTCTCCGTGTCCACCAACTCAGTTAAAGCGCCGGGCATTCGCTTTTCGTAAACAACACCGGTGCCACGAGAATGCAGTGAGTAGGACTTCCCTGACAGAGGCTATATACGTGTGGCCATGTGAGAGCATTTAGAGAGGGAGAGCGGACTCTCCCAACTCTCGGCCGTACCAGGGCATTTGGGGTCTCAGTTATTTAAGTAAACTACAAGGCAGTAAGTAGATCATACGAATCTATACGATATGTGTAGCTTGTAACATAACACATTAATCGTTGATTGTATTTTGTAAAATAAAAAAAATGAACATATAAACAGTTCGAAATGTTTTTGCTCAGTCATTAATTGTATCAACTAGAATAGGAACAGTGTTATTTCATATTATAAAATGACCTTGAACAAAAATAGTGGTTTTACCAATTAAAATATCAATGTGAATTGTTTACATTCAATGAATGAATCAGTAATGTTTGTTAAATGTTATATACACATATTCAATTCAAATGGAAAAAATACACATCACATTCTCTAGATTATATGGAATGACAATTATGGGTGGATACAAATGTGTAAATATATTAACTTTCAATTATATGTGATTTGTTAATATGGAAACAATTAATATTGTGAATTTAGTTAGTCTATATTCATTATAGTTGAAAGCGTGAGTCAATTGAAGCTAGGCCACCAAGGAAAACCTGGACAGTCGTTTCGTCTTATTGTGGGACTCCTCAGCAGTGCGCATCCACGAACCCGTTCTCGCGAGATTCGAACCCAGAACTTACCAGTCTTCCAGGTTTTCCTTCGTAGTCTAGCTTCAATTGACTCATGTTTTCAACTATGAAAATACTAAATCTCTACAAAACCCCTTCTGGTTAAACTATTCGTCTATTTTCTAATACCTTAGATGTACTCGTAAATACATCCATCATTTAAGATAACAACAATAAGCATGCCGTAAAGACGTCTCTTTTTCTTATACAACTCACTACTCATTCTTAATAACTAAAACCAGAGTATCAAAGTAAATATATATAGTCTATATTCATTTAGTAATATTGTGGTGTGGGGTTACTGATATCCACATAATTAGTAGTATATGGTGATGGTTGGGCATTGAATGTATTTCAATAGAAGAACGATAAGGAGAGAACGGGAACAGAACGCAACTTTAGCGATTAGGTTGACTAATATTCTGGCTAAAATCTGGGAGACGGATGTAATCCCATCCGACTGGTCACAATCACTGATTGTCCCAATATATAAAAAGGGGTCAAAATCATCCTGCGATAACCATAGAGGGATTAGTCTGACCAACATAGCATCTAAAGTACTAGCCTCAATAATTATCGGGCGCCTAACTAAGACTCGTGAACTGCAAACACGAGAAATTCAGGCTGGCTTCAGACCTGGTCGTGGCTGTATCGACCACATATTCACCATTCGTCAAGTTTTAGAGCACAGACACACTTATCGGCGTCCGACAATGATAGTTTTTCTTGACTTGAAAGCAGCATTTGACTCTGTAGACCGAGAGGTTCTGTGGCAGTGTCTGTCGTTAAAAGGTGTACCTGAGAAGTACATAAACCTTGTGAAGGCTCTTTACTCGAACACTACCAGTCGAGTGAGAGCTTATGGCGAACTGTCATATGATTTTGCAACCTCAAGTGGTGTCCGTCAAGGCTGTCCACTATCCCCATTTTTGTTTAACTTCATTATAGACCTGTTGCTGGAAATAACACTCTTCGACTGAATTTACAGGAATTCATCTACCAGGGGGACCACTAAGCGACTTAGAATACGCAGATGACATAGTCCTGTTTGGTGAAGACGCTGGAAAAATGCAGAGTCTTCTGTTGGAACTCAGTAATAATGCCAGGATGTTTGGGATGCGATTCTCCCCATCCAAGTGTAAATTGTTACTCCAGGACTGGCCTGCGTCAACACCCGAACTAAGGATAGGGAGTGAAGTAGTCGAACGCGTTGACAACTTCACTTATCTTGGAAGTCTGATCAGCCCTAATGGGTTGGTGTCTGACGAAATCTCAGCACGGATTCAAAAAGCTCGTTTGGCTTTTGCCAACTTACGTCACCTATGGCGAAGACGAGATATCCGTCTATCAATTAAGGGACGAGTATACTGCGCATCAGTTCGCTCTGTTCTACTTTACGGTTGTGAAACATGGCCATTAAGAGTAGAAGATACTCGTAGGTCACTAGTATTTGACCACAGATGTCTTAGAAATATTGCACGCATCTGCTGGGATCACCGGGTAAGTAATAGTGAGGTTAGACACAGGGTATTAGCGAACGATGGCAAATCAGTTGATGAGGTGATGAATGGTTGGGCCATGTGTTACGTATGTCTGAACACCGATTACCACGACGCGCTATGATGACTAGTGTTGGGGATGGTTGGAAGAGAGCTAGGGGCGGCCAAACCAAAACATGGCATCAGTGTTTGAAGTCACTAACTTCTAGTCTGAGCCATGTTGGCAGATGCAGACTACCTGGTTGGGGTCCGCGTGACTATCGTAACCAATGGTTGGAGACTTTAGGTGACATGGCTCAGAATCGATCACAATGGCGTAGGTGTATACACTCTTTATCTTCCTTTAAACCTTGAGACTAAAATTGCTTCATATCTCTCTTCCTTCCTGTACTATATCCTTATATACAACCTATAATTTATATACTACTACCACCACTAAATTAATTACTTCTATGAACCCGGTGTTCATCTTGTTGTGCTAACGAGGTATGGCAACTTGGACCGATGCATAAATGTGCCTGGTCCTACGTTGTAGCCGACTGACTGACTGACTGAACGCAATTGATACAAAAATGCATGAACAATTATAATCGGAGACTATAGACGGATATTTACACAACAAACAGTCAAATTGAGATAATTGTTATTTTGCAAATTAACTGTTCATTATATGGTTCTCATAATTTAATGAGATATTCTGTAATGTTGTGCTAACATATATTCGATTGTCCCCAGTTGTGTTCTTGTTCAGAACAATATTACTGAACGCTTATAATTAAAATCAATATTACTGTGCTGGGTTTAGTTAAACTGTTGCAAGTTAAAACAATTCAGTGACAATTTGAAAAGGTTTATATCTTCAGTTTCTAAATGTTAAAGGCTGGAATTAATCAGTCTGTTTCGGTATGTGTGTACAGTGAACAGATTATCTTGTTAGATAGTGGCTAACAATGTTAATCCCGATGCTCGTTCTGTAGTGTTCGAAACTCATCAAATGGATGGATTTACCTCAATGTTAATATTCACACGATGAAACTGGAACACATTACCATTTTCTTTAAACATATGACGGCTTATTCACTGGGCTACTAAGTTCAGATACTTAGTAGCTTGTGGAATCGAGTATGAATTTGCTCTGTACAGGTTTGTATCTTCTATCTGACTAGAAGCAAACGCATATTCAAGGTTCACTGCTAGCCACTATCCAACTGTACCAATTTCAACAACACGCTGGAGATCACAATCAAATGGTTTTTTCCAGCTAAAATGTCAAATGACTTTGTGATAATTCATCGAATTCACAGGAAATAAGGTGAATGGCATCCATGGAAAATCTCTAAAAGGAAATTTTCAAAAAATCACGATGTTCACCTACGCACATCCATGAATGGGCATTGGCTAACACATTTTTTGAAGTTTACGTATATTTAGGTCGATCGATTAAACTGAATAAGGGTGAACAAGAACGACGACTAAAATAATGACGGCATTCTACCAATTACGTTGCAATGTAGCCACTGGTCTCAGTGACTTAATATTGCCAGCACCATATTAAGATTTTAAATGGTTGGAGATAGTCGGCAAAATAACTTTGTCTAACCTAGGTTTCGAGGTGATTAGGGTTTGTCAGTAAAGCGTCTCAGTTGTAATCTCGAGAGAAATGATGATCGATGAAGGATTCATATGTGCATGACAAAACTTGACAGTCTAGAACTTTACCACAACGATATTAAGGTTGAGACTGACCTTGTGTAGGACCGACTATATATACATATATCATCAAAAAATTATAACGGGAGCTAAAGAAAACAACAACAATTACTTACCACAACTAAATTGACTAAAGATAATGCATTCAGTGTGATAGACCATAGAACCATAACAGCTGATACACTAATCACAATATATATAACACCAAAAATAACCATCAATGTAGCGACTAAATCGAATCCAAAAAATATCAGAGTAACAATGAATATAGCAAGTAAACAAATACCAAGTTGAAAAGCTGCTTCATTGAATAATGTTAAATATTGTTCATAGAACACGTAGAATGCACTAAAATAATAAACAAAAATAGAAGTAATAATGTATGAACATAATAATAACAAAGTTGATCATAAAAAAGTTTAGGCTGACTCAAAATTGATTGCTTTCTGAATCAGGTTTTCTTCCTTGATTCAGTCAGTCAGATACAACGTAGGACCAGGCACATTTATGCATCGGTCCAAGTTGCCATACCTCATTAGCACAACAAGATGAACACCGGATTCATAGCAATAGTTAATTTAGTGGTAGTAATATATAAAAGATAGGTTGTATATACTGATATAGTATAGGAAGGAAGAACGTCATGATCTGGAATAGTCACAGACGATAACTTTTGAGTATTTCAAGCCATTCAGTGTCCATTTGTTAACAAAACACTGGTGGGAACAATCGAATGTATTCAGACAAAAATTACAGACTATCTCACTAAATTCTGATAACCATACAACAAACAGTTAATTTGCAAATTAACAATTAATTGTCTAAATGTTCATTGTTTCTTCTGTAAATATCAGTTCATCTTCTCTAACTCCATTGTTTATGCATTTTCCTACCGATTGCGCTTCATTTCAGTTCTTCCTTATCGGTCTTCTGCCGAAATAGATTCTATGTCTGAACATCACCATATACTACTTATGTGGATAAAAGTACACCACATTACAATTTGGTTTCCTCATGGTCATTCTTTGTTGATGTCAAATCTATGCCAAAATCCAAATACATGTCAATTTTTATCAGGTAGGGTTATATTCAATCTGTCGATTAGTGAGTTTTTTTTCTTTTGGTTTCTGTATGCTATAAATTAGTGGATTGGGAGGATAGCCACTTGGAACAAATACAGAGTATCGAATAGACATAAACATTTGGATTTTACATAGTAATTTTTTTTAATTTTAAAAAGCTACAATACAAAAACCAGTGAGTCAGTTTCATCTCAGTTTATATCAGTGATTGGTTATACAATCAAGAGAAAAGAACAAATTATTACAGAGCTGATTGAAAATCTAGGGGTAGAGCAAATGAACTTTGAAGTTGGAGTAGAAGGTTTCTGAATGTAATAGTAGCGCAGTATCTCTGAAGCTGACTGTACCTGTTTGGGTAGATGGATCCTGACTTAGTAATCGAAAATGTCATGTTTTTTTGGATTTCAGAGGTTAATTAACTAGTGTAAACTGCCTCGAATACTATAATTAAATCTTATTCACATATCATTGATATAACAGTCAATGTATATATTATGCCAAAAAAATCCCTACATTGACACGCTATATTTGATAGTGAAGAACTACGTTGGAAGAAAATTGTGGGTTGAGAAAGTAAGATATGGTATCAGTGCATCAAGTCATCAACTGTTGGACTGGAGCTGTGTAAGGAAGAGCAAACTACGCGTTCGCAGTCCGTACGATTATTGTAACCAATTATTGGGGGTGTTGAGAGAAATGGCTCAGAATCGGTATTCATGGTGCAAGTACATTCTTTATTTGTCTTCCCACAGTTTTATAGATCGTAAGTTGATAATTGATAATATTCGATTATTAGTCTATCAATCCCTCATAGTTGCACTATTTTGTTCGAATGGTATAATAGCCTTAACGTCATTAGTATATATACCGTTTACATAATCTGCAATGGCTCTGGTGTTTTTAAAACCATTCGATTAGGGACTTCGGGAGTACTAATTATATCTATCAGTTAGATGACTTTAGTCATTTGAATATGGATTATTATCATTATAACATAAATACTGATTTGTACTAACCTGTAAGGAAAAACAGTATTCCTGCGAATCGGTCCATTCATATAATTATCAGTTGTTGTATACCATGATTGAGTTATTTGATTGGCATAATATCTTGCCGCTTTTAATGCATTCACATAATCATCAGGTTTTTTTAAGACACCATGATAAGCCATGAAATAATTAGCTCCAACAGTTACACTATCACTGATGTTGTCGCGTAAAAGACGAACACCAGTAGAATAGGCAGCTTTACCGCTGAAAAAAAAACATTTAAAAATAAACTTGAAATAAATACACAAGAAGCTTATGTATAATAAGAACGATTTCAATTTTATAGAATGGCAAATTAAGCCAGTAATTATAGGGAAAGCATAAGGTCTCATACTTTTGCTGATTACAGTAAGGTTGATCATGAAAAAGAAAGTTAAGCTGTAATATAAAAAAACCCTAAACATGTGTACACATATAGAAATGTTTGCATTAAGTCATCTAGGAGGGTAATCAGTGTCTTGGATAGTCAAACTAATAGTATATACTTAACTCTACTGATCGCACAGTGAGCTCGATGTTTAATAGCTTTGTAGTAAGGATCTATGATAATATGTGCTTATCGGTGTTGGGGATAGTCGGAAGCTAGTTAGGGGCGGCCAAACTAAAACGTGGCATCAGTCCATAAAGTCACTAACTTCTGGTCTGAGCCATGTTAATAGATTCAGACTACTTAGTTGGGGTCCGCGTGACTATCGTAACAATTGGTTCAAGGTTCTGGGTGACATGGCTCCGAATCGATCACAATGGCGTAGGCGTATACACTCTTTGTCTTCTCTTAAACCATGAAATTAAGATAACTTTATACTTTTCTTTCTACGAACTAATTCTTTCTTTCTGTATCATATCCTGCATACACACTCTTTCTTTTATATGTTACTACCATTGAAGAACTACTTCTATGAATTCGGTGTTCATCTTATTGTGCTAATGAGATATGGCAACTTGGACTGAAGCATACATGTGTCTGGTCATACGTTACAGTCTCTCACACTCACAGACGCTTTTGGCCTGATCTGGTATAATTATTATTTCTCATTTTACGGTATGATGTGATCTGGTCTGCTTGTGTATAAACCAAGTATGTCTCAAGTATACGATTCATATAATGGAAGCTGAAATTGTAGTCTGGACTGAAACAGACAGGGCTAGAAGAGAAGAACCAACAAGAACTCGGAGTTGACTTTGGGCTGTTCGTACCAGGTAATTTGTTAGTGGTTTGGAACAGGGTCTTTATTTTCAAAGACTTAGGGTATAAATTGATTTTATCCTCTTTAAACTACCATCTATAGTAAAACACTTGCCTCTTCAATGATTCAAAAAATCCCTTGAAGTACTCAGATGTCAGGTTTTTTAATGTCACATGGTTTATCATTTCTACATGACCCCTTTAAATTTAAGTAATCGAAAAAAACTGTATCGGGCTAGGTATGAGAAGTAGGAAAACTAATCAGGCGTATTGATCTATTTGCAGACTAGAAACTTAGTCATTAATTATTCATAAATGTTCAGGTATTTAGTTCTTTAATTTAATAAACATTGTCATGTAATCACTATGAACATCAAACTTAGGTTGATAAGTGTTCATGAACATTAATACCGTTCGTAAGTCACAAATTTAGTTATATCCATAACTGCATAGTTGAAAGCATGAGTCAATTGAAGCTAGACAACCATGGTAAACCTGGAAGCACTGGACGGCCGTCTCGTCCTATTGTGGGACTCCTCAGCTATGCACATTCACGACTTTGCCTCGCGAGATTCGAACCCAGAACTTACCAGTCTTCCAGGTTTACCTTGGTGGTCTAGCTTCAATTGACTTATGCTTTCAACTATGCAAATACTAAATCTCCACAAAACCCCACTCTGATTATATCCATAGCTAACAAGTTTACCTAGTACTTTAAAATATTGATTGAACAGATTATGAGTAACTTATCATATATTAAAAAGAATAAATAATTTACCCTTTAGGACAATTGGATCCAGGATTTTCTGATAAAAAATATGGCAAATACTGACTGAAATCTAAAGCATTCGGTCTTCCATCATTTAAATAAACTGGACATGATATACAATTGTTATCAATTAAATCAGGTGGACAAAATTTATGTGTATTTCGATTAATTCGACAACATAAAGATGAACTACTTGGATCAATCCAATCAAAATAGTCATCAATCCAAGAACTGGCTGGAGATACTATCCATGAACTGTAATAAAGTAAAGATTTGTTTAGTTAAATAGAATAATTACAAACTACATTCATATAATAAATCATTAATAACTTTACATTAAACGATTGCTAAAGGATTGATGAGAAACCTCGATGATAGAATGAAACAGTAATTCAGTTCTTTTTGGTTTGAAGTGGCACTCCAACTGATATTACGAATATCATCTAGAAAGTTTGTATAATAGATGATTTCGACAGGGGGTCTCAACTATTGTCGTTATAAATGGGACAGCTTGGGGAAGATTTGCGTTGGCCCAAGCTGCCAAACTAAATGAATAGAAACAGGTCGGAATAAAAGAACAGCAGTGGTATTTACGGAGTGAAAAGGTAAGTATGAAGGGATACTGGACACATTTTCAGCTAAATAAAAAAAACATTGACAGCATTCTTAAGAAATGAATAGCGGAAACCATCTCAGTGTAAAAGCTTTATATAAAATATCAAAATTACAATTTGAAACTTCATTAATTAACCAATCATTTAAGTCCGACAAGAGATTAGTGACAGGCAAAACATCTCAGCGGAATTATCTATGATAGAGACAATGAGTAATTGAGAAGTTTGGACCTTACAGAGAGGGGGAATAAAAAATCTTAGTAAACTCCCGTTATGACTCATATTTATTTTGTCTTTATTCATAGGTTGGATATTTGAGTTGAGTGCACGACGTGACAGAGTATTGTAATCCACTGATTTAATCTCTGGTGTATTTATTTATTTATTTAAACACACAAATATTGGTACAAGGAAGCACCAGATAAATATGCACCTCACAAACCTCATTCGATTTGTGTGAGGGCTGTGATACTGCTCAGGTGCCCAAACCGAAGCAGGTGGTTTTCTTAGGGGGCCACACCCGGAGCCTTTGACCTGGATGTCTGATCCACAAGGCAGTGGAGCATCGTGAGGAGATGCAGTCCCATGGTAGCCGGTGATCAACGGTTGATTCGTACGCCATTTGTTCCCTCAGGATACTGGAGCCCATGTGCACCATTGGTTTGGAATCAGGGTTTTCCAAGGTTTTCCCCTAGGTGAACTTTCCATGTCCACCAACCCGGTTAAAGCGCCGGACATTAGCTTTTTGTCCTCTCACTTTCGTAAACAACACCCCCGCCACGAGAAGGCAGTGAGTAGGACTTCCCTGGCAGAGGCTATATATTCGCTGGCCATATGAGAGCATTTCGAGAGGGAGAGGTGACTCTCCCCACTCTCGGCCGTACCAGGGCAGTTTGGGGTCCAGTAAATAGTGCTAATGGGTGAACAATCCTACCTTCTATTATGACAGAAAAAACCTCTTTATTTCCAGACACTAGTTACAATATGGAAATTTCGGATATTGATGTGAACCTATCGAAACGCCTCCAGTTAAATTAGAAAGGCAAACTCATTTTTCAGGATGGAAAAGTGATAGTGGGCCTATCAGGAATCGAAAAATGATAAGTGCACGTGATTTGTCAAGGAATAGTTCTTATTTTCAAGAGATGAAATATAGACAACGTATAAGCTTGATTTCTTAGGGGACTTGTCTTCTCAGTCTCCATCTTTTCTTTCGAGTAACAAGGCTCATGTATTTCAGTATATAGAGTTTCATATTTACTTACTACGATATAGAAAAAAGTACTTTACTGTCTAATTTTAATGTAAACAATGCATAGATTTGCATATATAATTAAAAAATCACACAAATAAATATTTTCGTTACTGTAAAGTAGGGTATATATAAAATAACTTTAAAAAAGTCTATAAATGGTTAATGATGGATAGCTTGAAAGTATTTCGATGTTTACTTCCAGCTTTTCATAGTCGTGACGCTTGTATATCGTAGTTATCCAGTACAACTATATTAGCTGAAGCACTCATTACTTTAGGTCCTACTGTGAGAAGAAGATCAGATAGTGTTAACAGTGAAAGCGGAAAATTCGAAGTTTATGGGCGGATCATACACATGCAACTGTTTTGAAATGTGACAACAGTAATGTGTTTTCCTCCAAGAAAACTAACATTTCCATAAATGCTGTACTCCCAAAATGAAGATTATATAAAGTCAACCCAGAAATAGAACACGTTACTTTGCCACACGGATTTGAATCGCTGCAGGTACGTCAAAAATAAGTATCCTTTCATGGTGTGAACAACCTAGAAATGATTGATAACTGCCAACATATCTGTTAGCAGTACTTGAACTCTCGTTAAATATCAATTTCCTACTTCTGTAACAGCGTTTAAGAACAGATAAGGAAGATCAGTAAAGTCAATAATGGCAAGATTTACCTGATATCCAAAAAGAATATATATGAATTGAAGTGAAATAGATGCTTAATTGAAAACTAAATATTTTTTGGAGAGAACATGTGCCATATCGACTAATTAAACACTGAACTTGTAAGTTGGAATATTACTAACAACTAAATAACTACCAACTTCATTGTTTCCCACTATTACATAACTAGAGAATATCTGAGATTCTAAATTGATCATACAGAACACAGAATTTAAAAATAATAAAGTTGAGCAGTAAATTATAAAGGATAAAACATTCAGCTTGTGAAAAATACTAAGTACTGGTACCGTATTATTCACTACTCAAAATGAAGAAGATTATTTCCAAACTATCAGTCAGTCAGTTATAACGTAGAACTTCGTACGTACGTACATCAGTTCGAGTTGCCATACCACATTAGCACAGAGATGCAGTTGTCGATTCAAATCCCATAGTGGTAGAAGTAGTAAGAGTATAAGCATTATGTGAAAGATTAGGGTTTGAAGATGTTATTCAAGGGGTATAATACAGTGAAATAAATTTGGAAAGAGAAAAAGGATAGGGACATGAAGAATTCAGAAGATTAGAATTTGGTAGAATACAAAGAGTGGGTTACCTTCGCCATTGCAAACGATTTTGAGCCATGTCATTCAAGGTCTCTAATCATCGATTGCTATCATCTCGCGAATCTCAACCAAGTAGTCAACACCTACCAACATGGCTCAGTCCGATTGTCAGCGACTTCATGGATTTGTGCCACGTTTTGGTCTGGCTGCACCTAGTTTTCTTCCAACCTACTCTTACACCATAAAGCATTGCACGTCAGGGCAGTCGGTGGTTGGGCATACGTAACACGTGTCCCAGCCATCACAACTGATGAAGTTTCACCACTTTATCAATCGATTTGCCATCCTTACCTAGTACCCGTTTCCTAACAACCGCATTACTATCAGAACTATAGTATCAAACTAGTTTCTTGTTTTGTCAACTTACCGATTAGGATAGGAAGCTGCAGCACTAATCTTTCCTATTAATGATGTATTATAACAACCTGTTCCACCACATACTTGATTTTGTCCATCTAATGTAGTAAAATTATGTCCTTCAGTAATAACAAAATAAACTGGTGGTCCAACTCTTAAATCATTATCTAATGCATTGAAATAATCCAACATGTATGAATCAGTAGGCATAGATAATTTTTGATCAAGAATTAAATGTAATCCATTTGGTAGAATTGATGCAGCAAAACATATCCATGCTAAACTTATTATAATAATACATGGTCTAGCCCAACCCGATAAAATAACTGGACTAAGATAGTTAGCTACAATATAATGTAACCATGAATGTGATACTGTATAAAAAATAAACAAAAAAAGGAGACATTTTAAAATGATAGCGAAATAATTGTTCAAAAATCAATTATTATTCTTTTGACAAGAACAAAGTTAAAAAAAACAACAAAACAAATGAAGTATAAGGTATCAGATGATAGAATTATAACACTTATAATTTTTGACAGCAAATGTAAAAGAAGGTAATCGACAAAATGAATCCATATTTATTGTGAGAAGTTAAAAAGCATTTGAATTATAAATATACACATAGAATTGAATTATTCAATTACATTTTTTAATGTGTTCTGAAATATGAACTCTCAAATTGTCTGATCTCCAAGTGTTCTGCCTACATTATTTAACTACTGTTACGACTTCAACGCCGAGTTCCTCTATGTACATATAGATTTGAATCATTCAATTGCAACTTTTGATGTGTTCTGCATTCTGAACTATCAAGTCGTCTGGTCTCTAAGTGTTCTGCCTACACCATTTATTGACTGTTACGACTTCAACGCCGCGTTCCGCTACATACTACTTACAAACAATCTTGTAACATCTAGTATACAGAAATATGGTTAGTGAGTATTTGATGAAAACCCGTAAGTATACACAATTAATAGATAGAATTAGTTATTAATTAACATCAGTAGCCTATGGTGTCAATAAAAAAAGGAAACAATCATTCTTTCATGATCCTAACACTTAATTTTCAAAACAGGGTAATTTGATTTCATTTTATCCTTCTAATCTATTTTCAATCTCTTTAATTTTCATCATTAGTTATTGTTGTTTTCATATTTTCAATTTATTCTTCACACCCTTCTCATAGTTGTCAAGTGGACAGTTATTTTTCTTAGAGTTAATTTCATCTTTATTATTAACATGAAATGACTTCAAGCAACAATTGGAAATAATCTATATATAAACATTGAAAACCAAACATTAAGTCATTATTATCAGAAGGGGGGTTTTGTGGAGATTTTAGTAATTTCATATAGTTGAAATCATGAGTCAATTGAAGCTAGACCACAATAGAAAACCTAGAAGCACTGGACGGCCAACTTGTCCTATTGTGGGACTCCTTATCAGTGCGCATCCACGATCCTGCCCCGCGAGATTCGAACCCAGAACCTACCGGTCTCGCGCCAGATTACTTAATTTAGTTATTTATAATGAGCGCGTTTTTATGCTATTAATATATGAAACGAATAATCAACTATGGTTAACATGAAATTCATATCACATCTGGTAGATTGGAAAGAAAAAGCACAATTATTCCATTTAAAGTAATCATAAGTAACACTGAACAAGTATGATGATTTGTAGAGATTGTAGTATTTAAACAGTTGAATTCACATGTCGGGTGTGAGACAGTTTATCTATCTCATATAATGGATGAAGGTTTGCTAAAGATTATGGGTCGATTCGAGTTAGACACTGATACCGTTGGATGTCGGCTCAGTGGTCTAGAGGTTAAGCGTTCACATGCGCGACCGAAAATCTTGAGTTCGAGTCTTGCGCGTGGGATCATGGATCAGCACTGATGAGGAGTTCCATACTAGGACAAAACGGCTGTACAGTGCTTCTAGGTTTTCCACTGCGATCTAGTTTAGATCGACTCGTGAATTCAACTGTGAAAAAGAAACGTTGAGTAAATTCAATGAATAATTTTTTAGAGACAATGCTGTCTGGTGTTTTTTTTTAGAGTTTTCTATCGTTTTGAGACTTACTTGTCCTTCTAATAATGTATATACACTTGATTGAAAATATACAGAACTTCTAGGTGTACATGGAGAATACTGTTTTACTACACCTTACTTGATTGATTCTGACTACACACACAAGTTATACAATTTGTTTTCGAATAAATCAAACTTAGTTTATATCATGAACTGATAGATTAGATAAAGAAAATCGTAAGTTCACTTATAGTCACAATACAAATTGCAAACAGAACACATGAAGAAAAAACGTTGTTTTGATATGATATTTGGCTTATATCTCTTCACCTTTTATCTGTCCACAAGGAACTCTGGATCTAAGTTTCGTGCTATCTGACACTGGTCAGCAAAGTATATATATAGAATCTTGGGAGAATTGAAGCTTCTAATGGGGTCACCTAACTTTGTAGACTGGGACGTTATCACGGAGCTGTAGATGACCTTCTGACAGAAATTATATTTATTTAGTCCTTTAGTGTTTGTCGTATTCTATAGATCCATGTCTAGTCACTTATACTATTGGTTACACTGCAAATTAGTCAATAGAATCTGATGAGTGCGAAAGAACCCAACAAACATGAAACTGATCAATACTACTAAATGATCAATAAATCAATAGAAACTGGAAATATAACAAGCTTACCTGATTTATATTTTTTATCTTCTGTTAGTTCATTTGGTTGATGTTCAGCTAAATCAATTTCATGTATATTATTATCATCCATCGCTGTGGAACTAAGCGATAATGAATCACTATCGGATGAGAAAACTTTTCGATTATTTTGACCAATCGTTAAATTAGTATTATTCAAACCATGGTTATTTGTTAATGGAGGATGATTATTTGAAATATTGAATTGTTGAGTTTCGTTTAAGTTATCAAATTCATGTTTAAGTTTAAAACAGAATAAAACATCGAAACGACGAGCCTATATGAATGAAGATATAAAACGGTCAAAAGTAAATTATAATAACTGCTATAGTGGATCAATTCAAAGTTGCCATATGAGAAAGCTATATTTATTTAGCACATGTGAGCCATTGTTTCGAAATCAGAGTTGTCCGACACCCTTAGGTGGATCCTCCGTAGCCACCAACTTGGTTAATGTGCCGGACATTCGCTTTTCGCCTTCTCAATTTCTTAAACAAAAATCAAAAATCTAATGATAAAAGACCTTTACTGGCCAAGAAATAGTTTCAACTTCCAAGGCATATATATATATAATTCAGTGAACTCGCTTCTTCGCTCTTAGTCTTCGCACTCATTAGTGTTGTAAGAAATTTAACAATATGAGGTAACAGTTTATTTAGGAGGGGGATTAAATTAGTAATCGGATGTTGTGGGCAACAGTGAATTGACCGCTCCATATCATTAGATGTTTGTCTATTAGCAGCAGATTCATTAACTTACCAATCTAAACTCCCGTTTATTCTATTGCATCAGAGATTTTATGTGATAATATAACATTTTCAATCTGATTAAACAATAATGTTGCTTAGATTATACAAAAAGTTGAGACAACAAAGCATTTCAAAGAAGTCTGACAGTACTACAATAATACAACAATGTAATGGACATCTAAAATGTCAACAGATTAAACAAATAAGTAGTAAACATGTAAACACTTTTGCTTAAGTATAGCTTACAAGATAGAATAGTTTTACTATTTAGATAAAACTTACGATTCTTATAGTTGAAATTAAATATTAACATGATTGAACAACAGGATTACATAGGTACTCGCTTCGGCGGTAGATATACTAAATTGGAACGATACAGAGAAGATTAGCATGGCCCCTGCGCAAGGATGACACGCAAAATCGTGAAGCGTTCCATATTTATTGAATGCCACGACGCGCAATGTTTCATGGTGTAGGAGTAGGTTGGAAAAAAGCTAGGGGTGGCCAGACCAAAACTTGGCACAAATCCATGAAGTCACTAACAAGTGGACTGAGCCATTCTGGTAGGTGTAGACTACTTGGTTGAGATTCGCGAGATGATAGCAATCGATGATTAGAGACCTTGAATGACATGGCTCAAAATCGTTTGCAATGGCGAAGGTAACCCACTCTTTGTGTTCTGCAAACTCTAATCTTCTGAATTCTTCATGTCCCTATCCTTTTTCTCTTTTCAAATTTATTTCACTGTATTATACCCCTTGAATAACATCTTCAAACCCTAATCTTTCACATAATGCTTATACTCTTACTACTTCTACCACTACGAGATTTGAATCGACAACTGCATCTCTGTGCTAATGTGGTATGGCAAATCGAACTAACGTACGTACGTACGAAGTTCTACTTTGTAACTGACTGACTGACTGAGACTTACATAGATTGATAATTGAATGATTAAACGGTTAACATTCTGAGTGAGAAGCAGATATATATCTATAGCAGTCACACTGTATAGTCTATTAATTGTTGTACTTAGCTATTAACATGATAAATCATCCAACTTCATATTAGTTAAACTAGTAACTAGACAAAATGGAGAGTCGACAGTTTGAATAATAGACTTTCAACAATGCAGTTTGAGAGTATGCTCGCTCCATAGATTTTAATTTAGACAGTCGGGTAGTACTAAAAGTTATCTCAAACAAAAATTCAGAATTTAAAGTCAAGTGATGCGAACCTATTTTTTTAAAACATTAAGAAGGGTGTGGCTGATTTGAGGCGGTAATAATATCAGAAAATACAACACATCAATAAAAGATCAATCGTTACTGGAATAATTAATAACACAGCAGCTAGTCACCTTAGAGGAGTTTATTACCATTGAAATAATGAGAGAGAAAAAGAGTATGAGGACGAAATGAAATTGAAAAAAAGAAGCACATCGATAAATAAACATGTAAGGACGTAACACTTACTACATATCTACGTCCATCTAATGTAAGCAAAGCAACAAATGCAAATATTTGTAAGAGAAAATTGAACACAATAGCCATAGCTGCATATAATGCGAACACACGAACAGCTGGCATTGTAGTTAGTGCTCCTATGCAAGAGAAAGAATAAACGAACCAGTGAAGATATTAAGAAACATATATCATACACATATCATAGACTGGATTAAAACAACTACTAAAGACCAAGAAAGACTAGATAGCTGCTACGTCAAAGTATGTGACTGCTCAGCAGTTCGCATTCACAACTCTACCAGTTACACCCCTGGATCCACTGAATAGGGGTTCGATTAGTGGTGAGGTCGTGGATAAGCACTACTGAGGAGTTTCATACTAATACAAAACAGACGCTTAGTGTTTCATGATTTTTTGATAGTTGTTTTAATAAGGTTAATTTGTAATGTAGGCCAAAATTCAATAAACCTTGAAAAAAACCATACCCTAATCACAACAGTAACGAAACGAAGTAATCTATCAAGCTCAACTAACGTTAGACAATGTAGATATGGTATACAGTCTCGATTATTAACCATATCAAAGAGGGAGTATGTCAATTAGGAGTTTCTCCCACTTTCTAGAGAAAACAAATGGCGACACTTCAAACTATGAAATACCAGGCTCCCGAAATAACCCTAACATCAAAGCATTTCTACCGAAAAGATAGTCACAAAAGCTCCCAATTTAGAGGCATAATTCAAATATGAAATCAACGTTTCTACTAAGAAATTTTCTATCAGAAGGGGAAGTGGAGAGGATCGAAAATACGTTTTGATAAATCCACGGTCAAAACCTTCTTTGGATTTTGATTCAATAAAACTAAAATAGAATCAGACATTTATGCCAGTGGGCAGTTTAACAAATGAGAGATACATAATCGAATATGCTGAGGCACTTCACTTGTCTCAGATTTCTCAGCAATTGATAAAAGAAAAAGTTCGCATAATCTTTGTCAACTGTGTGCTACTTATTACACATATACACGTTGTCCATTTGAAAATTAAAGAATTTGCATGCGACTTTATGGACTGATTTTACGTTTGGGTTTGGTCGCTCCAAACCTGCTTTCATCCGTCTCCAATAACATGCAACATTGAGCACCATGGTAATTGGTTCTCACACTTGCTCATATCTCTTTTTTGTATCATGATGAAGTATCCTTCTTTTGAATCTGTCGGCACTTGTTCATCCTCCCAAATCTTACTGAATAGAACATGGAGCATGTTTGCAGTTACTTTTGTCTCTAACTTCAGTGCTCCGCCTGGTATGTTGTCTGGTCCTGTTGCTTTGTCACATGATTATGCTGATTACTTCGATCGTTGGTAAATTGACATCTATGGGAAAGGTTGTAGGTGCTGCTTCAAAGTCCGGGGGGGGTTCAGTGGGGCTGGTCTATTCAAGAGTTTTTCAAAATGCTCTACCCACCTTACTACTTGTTGGCTTTAATGCTCCTCTTCGCTCTCCTATTTGCTTCTAAGTATTCGGTCGATGCCTCGATTTTCTATGCTCTTATTCGACTATTGTCAATTGCTATCTTCTTGTTCTTCCTTTCGTGAATCATGTCCAAGGTTTCAATAGAGATCCATCTCTTATGATAGTATTTCTTGCATCCCGGAACTTCCTAGCACGTTGAAGTTAGTGCTTCTTTGATCCCTTTCCAGTTGTTTTCCATAGTAGTTTCCTTGTGTAACTCTTGGAACCTGTTGTGGAGAGCTATCTTGAATTCGTTGAGTTTGTCAGAAACTCTAAGGAACTCCGCATTGAACCACTTGAACACTTAACATCAAAACATAATCTAGATAGTGTAAGGTAATTTAAAACACTGATTAAATTGTATCTTAATCGATAGAGCTCGATAAACATTAAAAAATAAACACCAAATACTAGTGGTTACTACCCACAGTGACCTATCCATATAAACGAATAAATTAGAAACAAAAAATAATTATATAATACTGATTACAAATTATAATAAAAATTAATTTACCACAAAAGAATGCAACACTTTCTGATAAACTAGTTAATAACATTGATGGACCAACACTTCCCATTGATTCAGCTATTCTATCTTCCACTAATAGTTTAATTGGTTCATTTAAATTATTTAATTGATCTGGATCATTATCTTGATCAGGATTTTGTTCATTTTGAGTTAGATTTAAAATGGAACTATTTGAATGATTCTTTTTATTACCATTATCATTATTATATTGATGAATATATTGTTTTAATAAGTTAATATCATTTATAGATCTATTATGACTATGTTCAAATTCATGTACTAATATAAAAATATTATCAACACCAATAGCTAATACTAAAAATGGTATTACTTCAACAATAATTAAAGTAATTGGTAAATTTAAATAACTCCAAAAACCAATAGATGCTAAAACAGATGCTAGTACAATAAGAACACCAGCTAGACCAAGTGTTATACGCATATCAACCTGCACAAAAAAAAGAAAGAATAATAATTAAAAGAAGTTATAATTCAGTAAAACTAATGTCAGATGTTTTGTGATAATGTGGTGTATGCTACTTAAATTGACAGATATAAGTAATATATATATATATATAGCATCAATTGAAAGTGGAATGTATGGTAATAGTAGATTGAATTGAAGACAACAGGAAGGGAAACCAAGAGGAAATTATAATAACAACAAGTTCGAAAGAATCATGCAGTATGTACGAAAAATAATATAACCTTAGTTTGAGTGTATCTGATATGCTATATAACTTTACGAGGCATTTCAATATTATACTGTAAGATTGTTCATTTTAGCTTTTTTTTTATGGTTGAAACAGGTAGTTATACTTTATTTGTAGTTGTCCGACTGTGAAGAATCTTTGCTTTAATTATGTTATTTGTCTAAAAGAACAAATCTTTACTTTTGAGTAAACATATATACATTTTATTGATTTCTTTCCTATATCAAAACAAATGATAGTTGAATAGTGATATAGAAAAGTACTACTTAATTCATATTAACAGTAACAAATGTATTTCTTGATAGTGACTAGCGACCATACCACGTTGAAAGCACCGGTTCTCGTTCCATCACCACACTTACGCAAAGTTGGGCCTGGTCTGTAGTTGCATTAGTGACCGACTGGGAATACCGGGTGTCACCGGCTTTGCCCCCGAATGCCCTGGTACGGTAGACAGTGGGGAGAGTCCGCTCTCCCTTTCCAAACGCTCTCACATGGCCACGTGTATACAGCCTCTACCAGGGAAGTCCTACTCACTGCCATATCGTGGCACTACTATTGTTTACGAAATTGAGAGGACGGAAAGCGAATGTTCGGCGCATTTTTCGGGGTGGTGGACACAGAAAGTCCACCTAGGGGAGTTGAAAAACCCTCATTCCAAACCAATGATGTACATGGGCTTAAGGATCCTGAGGGAACAAATGGCGTATAAACCAATTATTGGTCAACGGCTACCACCATAGGACTGCATCTCTTCACGATGCTCCACTGACTTGTGGACTAGACCTTCAGGTCAAAGGCTCTGAGTATGGCGCCCTAAGAAAGCCTTGTGCTTCAGTTTGGGCACCTGGGCAGTACCACAGCTCTCACACAAATCAAATGAGACTTGTGTGGCGCATATATATCTGGTGCTCCTTTATACCAATATTATATGTTTAAATAAATAAAGAAGACTAGTAGATGAACGTAATGTTTTATTCTATTTTTTTATTTGTATTGTCAATGATGGTTAGTACTTAGTTTTGAGTTTCACAGTAAGAATATCAACACTGGAGTGTTAATACATTCAGCTGGTGAGTCATGAAAATAAGACGAGATGTAACTATCATAAATTCCAATCAGGTATTACTTTAAAAACGTATTTAACTTGTAGATGTGAACAGATATTAATCAAATGAACTAATCCAGTTCATTTAAAAGAGATTTCCACGAGACTACAATTTATGGACGAGCCAATCAGAAGCGTCTGAGACGTTTCAAGGTCACAGCGCCGATTTCAGTACCTGATACTCATATACAATCGGTTCGCAGACGCTATTGAAGCTTCGGCTGTTCAGAGGTATGAGTATTGTAGGGATATATACGTAATAAAAATGACAAACTTACACAACCGGAGTACATGCAAACAATATTGAAGTTATGTGGTCGAGGCTGATAGAGCTTTCGTGACCTTATCATGGCTCCAGAGACCGAGTATTATGAAGTCATATGGTTGAGTTCCCCTACCTTATGCATTACGATTTTGAAACCTTTGAAGATCTTTCTAACCTTGACAAGTTTTTGGACCATGTAAAAGAAGTGTATCCACTTTAATTCCTTGGTGTTGTATGATATATTTTTATTCCATACTGACTGCCTTCTGATTGGCTAATAATTCTCAAGGTCACTTAAAATTCGTTCAAACGTCGTCCATAAATTATAGTCTCGCCGAGGTTTCTAATACATCTAATCCCGTAATCAAAATACATACTCGTGTAAATAATAAAAATTAACAGAAAAGAAAAGCAACAACTTACAAGTATTGTTTTAAAACTTCGATATGTCCCTAGAAACAAACTGACATAGATAAACATAACAATATAGCTTATAGCTATAGTACTTATATCCGAATTTGACTGACGTTCAATTTCATCTTCTACAGAACGCTAATCGAAGAAAAACAAAAACAAAATAATGAAGGATGAACAGAATTATGGATTCTTCTAGTAAAACATTACATATATACGTATAATATTAGAAATAAGTAATTAGATATGTAAGAGGGGGGGTTTTGTGGAGATTTTAGTAATTTTACATAGTTGAGATCATGAGTCAATTGAAGTTAGACCACCATGGAGAACCTGCAAGAACTGGACGGCCGTTTCGTCCTATTGTGCGACTCCTCAGCAGTGCGCATTCACGATCCTACCCTGTGAGATTCAAGTCTAGGATTTATCAGTCTCGCGCGCGAGCCGGCCGATATCCAACGGTGTTAATGTCTAACTTCAACCAATCAACGAAGTTGAGCAACTATTCACCAGTGTCTTCAGTGCTTCCAGGTTTTCCATGGTGGTCTAGCTTCCACTGACTCATGATTTCAACTATATAAAATTAGATATGTGTAAATGTATGACATATTGTCGATTAATTTCAATAGTGCGATAGCACGCCATCTGTCTACATGTCTTTCAAGTTAATTAATGAATTAATAGCGTCTCCAAAAGCGATTGACATAAGAAAAACGTAAACCAAATATATGTGCCGAAAATGATTTGACTCACTAGTCCTCCCTCCTATGGCGTGTGATCTCATTTACAAATATTTATTACGTAATTTTTTTTCTTTCCATAACATTAATTATTAATTCTCATTTTTGATTTGTTCTTTACTTAGTTATTCAGTTATGTTTTAGGTATTACGTGATTATGATATTAATATTTCTGTTTCTATGCTCATAGTTCCTATTCTAGAATATTTATATATTTGACGCATGAGTATTCACATTGTTTAACAAATGAAAATACGCACGGACAATTTGTGGAGATTATTGTATTTTTACAGTTGAATTCATCAGTCAATCTAACCTGGACCACCATTGAAATCCTGGAAGCATTGTACGGCTGTTTCGTCCTAGTATGAGACTTCTTAGCAGTGCACATTAACGAAATCACACGTGAGATTCGGACCAAGGACCTACGATTTTCTAGACAAACGATTAACCAATGCTTCCAAGTTTTCAATTGTGGTCTAATATTGATCGGTTCACGATATTATTGAAACGAAACAACTTCCAAAACCATATACTAATATAATTCAATTTGACAAAGTATAACAACCTATGATAACAAAATTGGCTCATAAAATGGTTTTACAATTACGTCATATATACATATCAAGTGCATCTCAAAGATATATGCTTGAAGCTGGTTATTACTGAATTGTATCGATATCTATTCCAATAGTATCATTCAATCGGATCATTAAAATAACACCATAGATATAAGTGATATTTACAAGAGTACAAAAACCATCGTCATAACAGTTGCTATGAAATATTCATACTTTCTTCTTTTATAAATACAAGTATACATAACAATGTCAACTTAATTGTCCTTTTAACAAAAAAAAAACACAATCTATAAGACCACCAAATAAGCAAAGTACAAAATCAGTAGTCATATTACATGGTGTTTAATTGCATACTTAGTAGTAGTAATAATAACAAATAGAAAACAAAAATTATTTTTCCTAATCAAGCAACAATAGTCTCAATCATTGTTCAGTTCACATCAAATGTATTATCATCATGCCATATACATACGGGTAGATAGAGTGGAATTATTTATTCTATAAACAATTTCAATCATTTTATTTCAACAAATGTTCAAAGTTCAATGATAAATCATACGACTATACAGAGTTTGTCAAATCAAAAACTATTTTAAAAGTTTATTTATAAAGCAGTTTTATTAGTTGTATTCACGGGTCGGTCCAAGCTAGACCACCAGTGAAGATATGGAAGCACTGGACGGCCGTTTTGTACTCGTACGTGACTCCTCAGCAGTTTGCATCCACGATCGTATGCGCGGGAATCGGACGCAGGATCTTCGATCACGTATGCGATCGCTTAAACTTTAGACCACTGAGCCGACATTCAATGGTGTTAATGTCTAACTTCAATCAACCCATGATCTTGCCTGAAGTGGATAACTGTCTCACATCCGACATGGACTGGACTCCACTGGTCACGGCTTCTCATTAGAACACCAGGAAATTTATCTTAAAGCAAGTAGGCTGGAGACAGTTATCCACCTCACACAATGGATGAAGGGTTGTACAAGATCATGAATCGATTCAAGTAAGACATTAACACCATTGAATGTCGGCTCAGTGGTCTAGAGTTTAAGCGCTCACCTACGAAATCGAAGATCCTGCGTCCTATTCCTGCGCATGGGATCGTGGGTGCAAACTGCTGAGGAGTCACGCACGAGAACGAAACGCCCGTCCAGTGCTTCTAGGTTTTCAATGGTGTTCTAGTTTGGACCGAGGCGTGAATTCACTTGTGAAAATACTACAAACTTCGCAAATCCCCATTCTGATTATAAAGCCGTTTACAATCATAGACTTGGAATTTATTCCTTAATAATAAAAGATTATTAGGATGAATGTAATAAAGCAGTTTATACCCAACAAGAAGTCAGTCATAGCTTAAATAGCTCAGTGATAACATTTTATTAAACTGTATCAGTTGCCCCCAAATGCCTTGGTACGGCCGAGGGTGGGGAGAGTCCGCTTTCCCTCTCCAAATGCTCTCACGTGGCCACGAGTATACAGCCACTTTCAAAGAAGTTCTAATCACTTCCTTCGTGTAACGAGGGTGGTGTTCATCAAATTGAAAGGCTCCGGATGTGTTCTCCTAAGAAAACCACTCCCTCGGTCTGGGAACGCGGGCAGTGTCACAGCCCACACGCGAATCGACTTGTGTGGCGCATATGTATTCGGTGCCGCTTTGTACCAATATTTATATGTCTAAATAAATAAATAAAATGTCGGTAAAACATATTTGAATGGATTCAGTATATAACCGTTTACTTAAGATTGTAAATGATTTTTGTTGGGCAGTAGCAATGACTATGAGATTAAGGTATCGGGTTTCTTGAAGATTTCGTCAAACATCCATTATATCCGAACGAAGAATAAATGAATAGTAACTGTTATTTATGAACTATTATTCTTATTGGGTAGTAATTAGGACACTAGATTATCTATGTACTCATGTTTCTCTTAACGTTAGCTTTCATTTCACTTATCGGCCACTGTCATACGATTTACCATTTACAATTCCTGCATTATTAATTACAGTATCCTATATTCACAGCCATTTTTGGCTTGATCTTGTATCATTATTATTTTGCAATTTATGGTGTGATCTGGTCTGTTCAGTTTGTATGTAAACTAAGTATGTCTGAAATATACGATACACATAGCGGAGGCTGATATTTATGTTGTGAACTGAACGGGCTGGGTTAGGAGTGAAGTTACTATACAGAAGATCAATAAGGACTCAGAGTTGACTCAAGGCTGCCAGTGCTGTTTGATGCATCATCGGATTAGCATAGGGACAAGGCCATATAAGTCAGTATTCTGATTGGCGATCGTTTCATATGATATTTGACAGGGTCATAAGATATAACAACATCAAAACATTTAACAGTAAAATATAACAATGTAGCCGAATAAATTTTCATAACTATAATCTATGGGTCAAGTAATTATTCGCTACAGATTTATGCCATGTTACTAAATTCATTTTTACAAACACTAATTTTACAGTCAATTTTTTTTTATCTTTTGACCTTTTGACCGAAGTTTATCGTGATCTCGTTAAGTGTAGCATTAAGTTTGAAAATACAGTTTCATGAAAACTTTAAAACCTAAAATGTAGTGAGATGCAGACTCTTTGTCTATTCGTAAACATTGCTTACATTTTCAAAGATTTTAGCTTGGAATAATAAATAAAAGATATAATAGTTGAAAACGTGAGTCAATTTAAGCTGGACCACCATGGAAAACCTGGACGGCCGTTTCGTCCTATTATGGGACTCCTCAGCAGTGCGCATCCACGAACCCGCTCTCGCGAGATTCGAACCCAGGACCTACCAGTCTCGAGCCGAAGCCCTTAACCAATAGACCACTGAGCTGGCATTCAACTATTATAAATACTAAATCTCCACAAAACCCCTTCTGATAATTAATATAATCATATGCTCACTAGTGACTTCGAGAAGTATATCTAGGAGCTCTAGTGAGAAGCAGTGACCAGTGGAGTTCAAAACCACGTCTGTTGTGAGATAGGAACTCACTGAAGACAATTGGTGAATGATTGCTCAACTTCGTGGATCAGTTGAAGTTAGACATTAACACCGTTGGATGCCAGCCATCTCAGTGGTCTATCGGTTAAGAGCTTCGGCTCGAGACTGGTAGGTCCTGGGTTCGACTCTCGCGAGAGCGGGTTCGTGGATGCGCACTGCTGAGGAGTCCCATAATAGGGCGAAACGGCCGTTCAGTATTTCCAGGTTTTCCATGGTGGTCCAGCTTAAATTGACTCACGCTTTCAACTATCATAAATACTAAATCTCCACAAAACCCCTTCTTTAAATAAAAGATATGTTTACAGTAACGCTGAATGATTATGTTATCATCATAAAAGGTATCTATTATCTTTGAATTAATTGGATTAGGCCAAGAAGAAGGATACTTAGGTAGTGTTTCTTGTATTCTAACTAGACTAACAAATGATAATAAACATATATTGAAACTATATTAACTACTTAAATTCAAATGAGTGACAGTTTTACATATGAAGGGAAACTGTTGGATTATCTTATCTTTGGAATCATTCAAATGGCGAACAAAAATTCATTATATTACAATCCATCAATTTCGGAGAAATCAGAAGCGAGTTATCATATCTTCTAAATTACATGACACGATTTGATCATGCTATAATGCAACTATGTAGCTGTTTGTGTGTATTCAAATATGAAAAGTATTTTCAAATACAAATTAATTTGGCAATCGGTGTGACGTGATGGGGATGTCCTAATCACTTCCTTCTCGTGAAGAGGTTGGTGTTCATCAAATTGAGAGCATGTAAAGCAAATTTTCGGTGCTTTCACTACGTTGGTGAATATGAAACATCCATCTAGGGGAGTTGGAAAACTCTCATTCCGAAACAATGGCTCACATGTGCTTCACGGTCCTAAAAAGACGAATGGAGTATGAATATATTGTTGGTCAATGGCTAAAATGAGACTACATCTACTCGCGCTGTTACACAGTCTTTTGGATTAAACCTGTAGATCAAAGGCTCATAGAGTGACTCCCTGAAAAGACCACCTGCTTCCCTATGGGAGTACAGGTAGTATTCCACTCCTTACAAAAGTCCAATGACGAATTGTAGTGCATATATATTTGGAGCCCCCTTGTATCAATCTTTATGTGTTTGAATAAATAAATAACTGCAGTATTGTTAAGATTTTTTCATGTCTCGATTCTTTACAATTGCACGTATAATTATTCGACTTGATTTCACTAAATCGATGATAAAAATAATAATAAACTTGGACCGATATACAATCAGACTCAATCCGATATATTTTAGTAAATTGAATGGTGATTAGTAGTGGAGATTTTGAAACTCGTCAGGTGAGTGTACTTACATCTTAGTGTTCATATCTAATACTGAAGCTCGAATGTAGATGGTTGTAAATAAATTGCATTATTGCGGTAATATCTACACATGACGCATATATATGAAATAAAAACTCAACTGTTGTCATTCACATCAACAATGAGAAACTATCCCATTTTGTTTGAATTTTTTTGTTTGTTTTAATGTTACTGATAAATATTACACTTAGAAGTAATTCAGTCTCTATTGGCTATTCTAATCTGATAAATAAAATAGTTCACTTGAAATCATGAACCGATTATGTAATAACTTACTTCAGCTGTATAACTAACAATAATTTCTGTATTATTTAGTTTCCATTCTTTAATCAACTGAAGATATTTTGATTCCCATAGTTTAGCTTTTTGAACATGAATTGATTTTGGGTCAGGATTATTGTTGACAAGAAATGTGAGTACTACAGCAGCTGATCCATTGTAAAATGATGCTTTATGAAGTTACATAGAAAAAAGGAATATATACATGGATATATTAATTTATAAAGATTTCAAAGAAAAGAAACTGTAAATAATTTACGTCTAAGAATTTGTTGTCTATTTAACCAGTCTTAAAACTCATAACAATCAATTCGATTACAAAGATTTAGTTAATCAATAAGGAGCTAATCAATCAATGTGATGATGATGTTTGGTGACTAGAGATAGTCAGAATGAAACTCTAGATCTAGATTTCGAGTCAACTGACAATTATCGACAAGTTATCTAGGCTGCAATTGATCTATTTTAGGACTGAGATAACTACATCTGACTCATTATTAAGTAGTGATTAATATGATTTTTCGTCTAGTTCTTGAGTGCTGATCGAATTCTACAGGTCTAGCAGGCACATAGCAACTAATACTCTGCAATCAATTAATTAAATAGTGGGTGATTTTCAAATAGTCAAGATCTTGCAGACAATTAACATAAACATATCTACTTTCAATACTCGCAATATGTCTTGTGTCCCTTCAGGAGCACCAAAGATTTAAAAGCATGTATAATATTTTTTATTTACTGTAAAACCAAGCGAATGCAATGATGCAAATGACAAAACACGAACAAACCATCCACTTCAGGCAACAAAACTCCGGAAAAAAAAACATAATTAGGAAGGTAATGGTACGTGGTACGCATCACACAAAAATAGGTTTGTTTTAATCAACTTGAATATTGTCTGTACGCTCAAACGGAAGATGGTTTTCTTTGGAAAGCCACTCCTCGAGGTTTTGACATGAAAATTTTTTACAAAGCAGTGGAGTAAGGTTACTTGATGGTACATTGCGATAAAAAATACGTTGGTACACCGTTCGTTCCCTAAGAATGCCGAGGCTTATTTACATCATTAGTTTAGAATCAGAGTTTCAGAACTACCCTAGGTGAACCTTCCGTACTCATCAACCCGATGTCAAAGTGTTAGACGTTCACTTTCGTAAAAAAAACAACACCGCTGGGTAAATGTAATTAGTAGGACTGATCTGGTAGAACAGATGAGCGTACGAAGGTATTTCTAGAAGGAGAACAGATTTTACCCACCATCACTTTTACCAAACTATTGGTCATTACATAGTGATCAGTCAGTGTAAATGTCTTGTTCATAGAGGAGATTGATTGTGTCCCGAATAGCTCACTAGTAGGATCTGCAACTCTGACAACCAGTAATGTGGGTTTCAAACCCGCAGTAACCACTAACTAGTCTAAAATTGCAGATACATCTTGTTAACTAGCTGAACTTCTTGATGGTTGTCTCTAGCCACCTAATGTCAAAATAAAAGAAAAAATAAACGAATAAACTAACCATTAAAACTGCCTAACGCAACTTGAGGTAACACTGGCATTCCAGATGATGACAGACAACCAGCAGTCGGGTCTAATGGAGAGCCATAAGTAGATAATGGGGCTTCAGTACAAAATAACAAATGATCAAGGTAATCATTGATAAGTAAGTTAAAATCATCTGTACGCTAAAATGTAAAAAAAAGATATACAAACATGAATACATAAATACATAGAACCATGATAAATCAATAACCCATTATGACTGATTATATATTCACACCAAATAGATACATGATCATGAACAATTTTGAGCAATTTGAATAACGACAATTTAAAAAAAAATGTTGTATGCATGACAGAAATAAAAGTTAATATACATAGGAACGAATCCATAAAATTGATTATCTAGGCAACCGAAAGGAGATCCTGTATAGTATGATCTCTGATTAGGCAATACAAAGCCAGATAAAACATTCGTAAAGTGAGACTATATGAATTAAAGTAGCAAAATCACATTCAACAAGTTACTGTCTCAGTCGAATGTAGGAGGATCCAGACATCCTGAATTAGCTTTTCAAACTAATAAAAACAAACGATGAGAGAGAATACATGGTGGTAATAATGTACAAACATTCACTCTTTGTCATCTAAATATTGAATGTTCTAACACTCTTTATTAATTTTCCATTTTTAACTAAAACTCTTGAAGTTTAAAAACAAATTGCAATATAATGCTTTATTGTTTGTTAAAGAAAAACAGATCTCGATCGTTGAGTAATATCCTGAGACTCAACACAAGTTAATAACGATGTAAATGAACTAGAAAGAAAACAACCTCAACTTATGAATGGTTAATCGTTTAGTTGAAAACTTCTAACCTGATTGAAATCTAATCCTCTAGGATCAAGTGAATCTGTTCCAATGATATAATAAATGAAGAACTACTTCATATTTGACAGACCCACATCAAAAAACGGTTATCCACCTAGGTTTGTCGATAGCAACTTAACACCTAGACTTAATCAAGAAAAAGCTTTGACAGTGCAGAAGAAAACTTTGCTTATGAATATGGAATTCAAAGGAGACACGGCTGCTGAAATCCTAAATAAACGGATTTCAAAATCGTTGAATAAAACTTTCTGCACAACTAAACTTCGAATCGATTTCTCTAGCCGGCCTAACATCCTGGGGTGTGTTAAGAATAAACTTTCGCTTTGGGCCACATCCATGTGTATCAATAAATTTACTTGCTCATGTGGGGCACATTACATAGGCCGCATAAGGCGATCACTTTCCAAACACTATCCGGCTTAAACTCCTAAAAGGAGGATGTAAAAAGATAACCAGTTCGATACAAGAGCATTTAATGAACTGTGGACACACCGCTCCAAAAGAATCCTCTTCGTTTATTTATTAAAAATTCTATTTCAATGTTTCTTCATAGGATTTCTAATGTCTTATGAATTCATTTTAATGTATTGAAAAACAAAACAATATTCCGTTGATTGATTAAATTGCCAATGATGAATTATTCTAAAAACCTGTTGTTTAAATTCTATGATAGCACGAATCAATAGAAAATTATTATTTCATGGAGTGACCTTAGATAGACAATTATCAAAAATTAGAAAGTACTGAATAGTTTATTTTATACTAGTACGGGCCTACTTATTAGACTGCATGCATGATCCCTCCTGAGATCGAACCCAACAACTTATGTGATAACGAATGTGTACACTTTAGACCATAGAATTAGCATACACTGGCTTATATATCTAATTTTAATCAATTAGCCGTACCTGGGTACCATTAGCGAGTATCTACAGCACACCCAACATGAATGGGTATAAATATATATAAAAACCGTTTGAAGCAATTAATCGACTTTGATTGTATATAACTCAGAAACACTAATATTGCACTTCAGATATAATTAGTTTATGAGTCCTAAATCAGTCATAAACAACATAGAATTTGACACACATATATGATAAGTATCAAAATATAGCAAAATTTATACCATAGAATTAAATGTAACCAAATACCCAATTTATAGTATGCAATCGAACCACATGCTTAAAATGAAAAATATTAGAAAACTATGATAATGAAAAACTGGTTCCGAACTTATGATTTAACATCTGAAAGTCGAAACCGACATTTTAGCAGTGTTCAATATTATCCGCATACTTAATAGGATTTAAAATTTACTTGATGGTTTACAAATATGCAAATAAAATGTAAATCAAGAGTATGTGAGAAATAGTTCAACAGCTTCTAGTTCCCGATGTAATGTATTCTTTGGCCTTTCTCTTTTCCACTTCCCTTTAGGATTTCATGTTAGCGATTACCTCGTGATGCAGTTTAGTGATTTCCTTATTGTACGTCCGATCCGATTCAAACGTCTTCTAGTTTCCTCTTCAGCTTGAAGCTGGTTTGTCCTCTCCCAAAAAACGCAGTTCCTGATAGTATCCGGTCAGTGAATGTTGAGTATTTTGCGTATACAACTTTTTATAATTACTTGTACATTCTTGACAATCGTTGTAGTAATTCTCCACGTCTCAGCTCGATACAGTACAACTGTCTTGACCTTCGCATTGAAGATTCTCACTTTCATATTAGTTGACAGTTGTTTTGAGTTCCATATGTTGTTCAATTGTAGGAATGCAGTCTTTGATTTGCCAATCCTCGCCTTCACATCTGTATCAGATCTTCCTTGTTCATCGATGATGCTTCCCAGGTACGTGAATGTTTACTCCTCTTCCACAGTTTCGACATTAAGTGTGATTGGCTCGGTGTTCTCCGTATTGTATTTGAGAATCTTGCTTTTTCCTTTGTGTATTTTGGGGCCTATTGATGCAGACGCTGCTGATATATTTGTTGTCTTTGTCTGTATTTGTTCTTGTGTATGAGATAGGAGGGTTAGGTCATCTGAGAAGTTCAAATAGTCTAATTGATTCTGAGATGTCCATTGTATCCGGTGCTTCCTGTCAGATGTCGAGGTCTTCAAAATCTAGTCAATCACCAAAAGAAAGAGGAACAGGGAAGAGTAGACAGCCTTGTCTGACTCCGGTTATACAACTAACTATTCTTAATTTATTTCCAATTTATTATAATCTCTTGATTTTGTATAATTATTATCTTTCATTTTATGGTATGATACAATCCCATTTACTTGTGTATAAACCAAGTATGTCTGAAATACATGATTCATACAGTGGTCAGTCAGTTAGTCACAACGTAGAACTTCGTACGTACGTACGTACATCAGTTCAAGTTGTCATACCACATTAGCACAGAGATGTAGTTGTCAATTATATATTATATATGAAGTTATAACAGAAACAATAATTACTTACATTTGTATTAAATAAAGTTAAATTATTTTGAAAATATTCAATAGGACTTGTAATAGCACAACCAAGATTATCCGGTTTCAATGGTTGAAAACAAATATTTGATAAATTAATAAATTTTTGTTCTTTTTCAAAATAAACCGCAATATTTTGAATTTGATTTTGTAAATCAGCTACCTATTGTTTATACAAGAAAAAAAATAAATGAAAATTAAGGAAAATAAAACACTTGACGAAAGTAATAATAGTAAGAGATTTCCTTTATTTAATGATTAGGTTATTTATTCAGCCCCCAAATGCCCTGGTAAGGTCGAGAGTGCGGAGAGTTCGCTCTCCCTCTCCAAATGCTTTCACATGGACACGTGTATATAACCTCTGTCAGGGAAGTCCTACGCACTGCCTTCTCGTGGTGTTGTGATTGAGAACACAGGTGAGGACAACCAACTATGTATTTAGCACAAATTATAACGTTACTTGGTAAAATACAAAAACCATGCTATGATACACTATTTGCAAAATGTTCTTCAATTGCCTCAGGCTTTATTGTTCCTGGATTTCCACACAAATTGCTTTTTATTTCTGTTCTTCTCTTCTTGATCTTCTCAATCTTCTGCTGTCAGATATTCTATTCCTTACTCACCATATTTACTACTTATGTCGATATAAGTAGCTCACACCACAGTGGCAATGGTGTTGTTTACAAAATTGAAAGGAAGAAAAGCGAATGTTCGGCGCTTGAACCGGGTTGGTGGATACGGAAAGTCCACCTAGGGGAGTTGGAAAACCCTTATTTCAAACCAATGGTGCACATGGGCTCCAAAATCCTGATGGAACGAATGGCGTATGAACCTATTATTGGTCAACGGCTACCATAGGACTGCATATCCTCACGATGCTCCACTGCCTTGTGAATCAGATCTTCAGGTCAAAGGCTCTGGGTGTGGTCCCCTAAGAAAACCACCTGCTTCAGTTTGCGCACCTGGGCAGTATCACAGCATTCACACAAATCAAATAAGATTTGTGTGGCGCATATGTATCTCGTGCTTCTTTGTACCGATATTTATGTGTTTAAATAAATAATTAATAAATAAATTAGGTAAAGAGTGTGGTGTACTTGACTTGGAGCTACATTCATAAGTATGAAGGTTAATGATGATTTCTGGATGTTAAAATGGAAATAAGTGGGTTAGAATCTAAAATTTGCGATCGTATCTGTTAAGTTACGACTCCTTAATGTAGTTAACAGTACAATGGAGGCAGCTTTTATAAGCCTATCAGTTTCTTTCTCAACATAACTCAAACAGAGTATATAACACGTGAGACATTAACCAAGACGTCACACTAGTCAAATAAAAAAGACTAGATTATAACAAGCTGATGTACGAAACTAATTTACCAACTCACATTCCCAACAGAAGTAAGATGGATTCAGTTATTGCTAAATAAACAAACATGAGCGTTCAATTGTTATATTATTTCTTAGAGAACGTGTGTACATTGTAGGGCTGACATAATGTCAATGAATAACATTAACAAACTATCGTCTAACTGCCAATAACAAGCAGTCTGGTAATTGGCGTTGATCGGGTTGTAATTTTATTAATCAGTAAGAGCAAGAGAAGGTGACTAAGAAGTTTGACAGTAAGTCACTAAACTGCAGACCTGAACCACCACCCACAACACATACTTACGTATGAGCAACTACGTAGTAGTATCATTAGCTTTCATGAAATGCCCTAGAAAAACTGAGGATGGGGAGGATCAGCTATAGCTCACGAAATGCTCCCACATGACCACGAGTAAACAGCCACTGTCAGAGAAGTTCTAATCACTTCCGTCTTGGGACGAGGGTAGTGTTCATGAAATTGAGAGCACGTAAAGCAAATGTTCAGTGCTTTAACCGCGTTGGTGGATATAGAGGATTCATCTAGGGGAGTTGCAAAACTCTAATTATGAAACAATGGCTGATATGCGCTTCTGCATCCTGGAGGAACAAATGGAGTATGAATTTATTGTTGGTTGATGGCTAATATGGAACTACAGCTCTTCACGCTGTTAAACTGTCTTGTGGATTAGACTTGTAGGTCAAAGGCTCATGGAGTGACTCCCAAAGAAAACCACCTTCTTCCCTATGGGAGTACAGGTAGTATTCCACTCCTCACAAAAGTTGAATGACGAAGTGTGGTGCATATATATTCGGTGCCTCCGTGTACCCTTGTTTATGTGCTCAAATAATAAATGAGAATAAAAGTTAAGTACACGAATCCTCACATAGTAAATGAATTTAATAAATAAGTTAATTGAACGTCACGGAGCACTTAAATCTACATCGCTTGGTTGTAGATGATCGAAGATAAGTCATTGATTTAGTTTCGATATTAACTAACACTTGTCAAAGAAATGTATCTCTAATTATGAAAGAATAATTGCTTCCTATGGCATAAAAGCCTATGCATTATAGTGTAATCAGTTAGTTAATCTGAACGAATCACAAAATAAAGCTTACTTTCAATAGAAAATCTTTATTGAGTCCAGCACCGAATAAAGCATCACCTGAAGCATCACCTAATGCTTTATGTGTAAAATTTGAATTATTTTTTGGTCGAAGAATAATTTGTTCAATTCGATAAAATGCTCTATGAAAGATAACATGATGAAATAATTAGGAATAAACTTTCAAAGCAATGAAAATTGATAAACAAATTAGTAATGTAGTAATATGTCATTGGATTGGATAGCTTCAAATGACGCATTAGTATATATACATATGTGTGTATCTCTTCAGGTTTTACGATTACATATTCAAGTAAATGATCCAAATCAGAAATCATGTCACATGTAGAATAATCACAATTGATTGGTCACTGAGTGATGATCCATGTCATGCGTGTCAAGTCTATCTTAGTGCTGATCGAATGCTATTTATAAAGCTGTAATGTGGCCACTAGTCTAGGTGGCTCGACACTGCGTACACTATGTTGAGATAAGATGGTGGTTGGAGGTGGTCAACAGGAAACCCTGGACCCGGGTTTCGTGCTACTTGGCACTCGTCAGCATGGTATATTTGTAAGCTTGAAGGAACCGGTGCACCCTGACGGATTCGATCCCGTGTCGCTCAGCTTCACAGTCAACGATGTTACCAGTGACCTATTCGGGCCGCGACCGACCTCCTGTAGGACTGAAATGTAATCACAATTGATTGATCACTGGGTGGTGATCAGTGTCATGCGTGTCAAGTCCGTATCAGGAGAGACTGCTGATACATTTGTTGTCTTCATCCTTATTTGTTCATGTGTATGAGATAGGAGGGCTAGGTCATTTGAGAAGTCCAAATCTTCTAATTGACTCTGAAATGCCCATTGTATTCTGTGCTTCCCGTCACATTTCAAAGTTTTCATAATCCAGTCAATCATCAGAAGAAAGGGTAGAGTAGACAGCCTTGTCTGACTCTGGTCCTTACTAGAAATTCATCCGTCCTTCATTCAAGACTTTGCACTGTAGTTCGTTGTATGAGCTCTGGATAATGTTGACAATCCTCTGAGGAACTCCTTAGTTCCGAAGAAGTTTCCATAATGTTCTCCGGTCCCCACCGTCAAACACCTTCTTATAGTCAATGAAGTGAGGAATTCCACTCAACTGATTGTTACACAATGATTCGTAGTGTCGCTAAAAGAAACGCTAAACAGATCTGACAATACCATATATTTAGTTCAATATAGAAAAATAAGAAATTCCAAATTCAGTAGTTTTTTATGCATTTATCAATAATAATATAGTTTATATTAGTGATTTCATTTTAAATAAAGACAAAAAAAAACAATCATCCCCAACCGTTTACTGTATATACCCTAAAAGGAACTGACCACATCATGGTTAATTCTGAGAGCAAAATCTTTTGAATAGTACAGTTTACCAATAATCCATCATAATCATGCTAATCATTAATCAAAACTCATTTACGATTCATTTCATTTATTCCAGTTTTAAGTATACTGATATTCAATGAAATAAACTTAACTATTTACTTGTATATGAGGAATAGCGGGAATAAAACAGAATCATATGGTGTATTCAATAAGTACACAGATGGTTTAAATTATAGGAAGATTAATAAAAAAAAACGTAAACTGTTCATGAAGTGATAGATTAAAGAAAAAAGCGATTTTTATGTAGGGCAAGTATTGTAATGAGAAATGTGGAGAACTAAATGGTGAAGTGATGTGAAGGTGAGAATGATAATGATTGATTGTTTTGCTTAGTCAGACTTGTAGATAGTCTGACAGGTGTTAGATGAGTTATATATTCGCCTGCCCTTATTACTATTATTATTCATTGTTGTTGGATTGCGTTACTTTTTGTGTGGATGTGTGAGTTACGTTGAAGTCCTGTAGAGTAGACACTGGGAGGGATTCTAGTGTAGACATTCGTCTAAGGAAAATTAACGTCCCATTCGTGTATACAAGAAAAGGGATCGTTATAACATAAAGTAAGGTCAGAACAACAGCTAGATAATTATTTTGATTTAAGCATCAAACAGTCACCAATTCAGTGTCTAGATGATTGCCAATGGACCAATTTTCGGAAAATCCTTCGTGTACAACAATTACGACTAAGAAAAGTTTAGGCGAAATTCATTCCAATACTGATGACATCTGATGGAAAGTTAAGAAGGATAAAATAATGCACTGACTTAGAAACTTCTGTCTAGTGACTGATGAAAAATCGCGGTTCCATGAGTAACAAATCGGGTATGATTGTTGAGGACCTATAGGGATATTTTGAATAACGAAAACCAGATTGAAATTTATAAAGCGTGTTCAAGATACACACTATCAAACCTTGGCAACACTGGCATGGTGCAAACATTGAATGCCAACAATCCTTCAAAGATAACGACTGAACACAGAGTTATGAGACATCCTTAACTCGAAGAGGTTAAGTTTCCCAACCATACAGACAAAACTGTTCTCACTAACGCATTGCGTAGATTATATACCAGAAACTTACTTAATATGTAAGAAGTTTCAAGATTGTTTTCTTGGTATCACTTTCGTTGTCAGGATAAAACTACCGAAATTCATTAAATACTTTGCCAAATAATATAAGCCGATAATATCAATGAATCCACTGTTACAATACTTACCCAAATTGTTGATCGAAATAATTTTTCTCCAATCTAGAACGTGATTCTTTACCAGACCATAATTCAACAGGATTAGTAGTAACTTGAAGAAATGCTAAACCACCTGAAAGCCCCAGTATAACACCCAATGAAACAAATAATACACTAATTGGATGACGAGCAATTAATCTTCCATGTAACGCGAACATCTAACAAAATTGGCGAATTATTTTTTGAAAAATAAAAATGATAAGTGATGATGATAAAATTGTCCACTAGATTTTATTTTAAAAAGGATTTTTCTTCAAAAACAAAGGAAAATATTTGTTATATAGGATGGCAATTTGAACCGATGCATATACGTGCCTAGTCCTACGTTGTAGCTGACTGACGTATAAAATGATCAAAATGTATCAAACTGTAAAACTGTATGATATAATAATGAAAGAGGAGAATAAGACCTGAATATCGAACACAACACTACAGAAAAATAGACAGAGAAGGCCTTTTACAATGGATTAACATCTGATAAACACCCTACAAATGATTTGTTACCGACTAATGAACAATATTCTGTGATAATGACAGATTTTCACTAAGTTGTGATGTGATCATTAGTTTAAATAACGCGTCATCATGTGCACTGTGTCGAGACCCCTATGGAAACAGAACGTGCGTCACTCAGTTCTACAATATGAGACTTTACCAATGCGCTATTCCGGTGGTGATTGACCTATAGGATTCGAACAGCGCTAAATGATTAGATAAGCATGACATTTGTCAGCGATCAATCGATCACAAGTATCTCACTCCTACAAGTCATTTGCCACCCAAATAGCTCAATGGTAACGTCTTACATTATGAAACTAGGTGACCACGGTTCGAATTCCATGAGGTAGTAGCAGTTGCACAAAGACTGTCGTTAGGCCTTGTAGACAAGTATTACCTAGTTGTTTATTTATTTACTTCAACACACAAATATTGGTACAAAGGGAAACCAAATAAACATGCGCCACATAAAAAAATTGTCATTTCATTTAATTGTGCGAGGGCTATGATATTACCCGGGTGCCCAGATCGGAGCAGGTGGTTTTCTTAGGGGACCACACCCGGAGCCTTCGATCTAAAGGTCTAACCCACAAGACAGTGGAGCATCTTAAAGAGATGCAGTCCCATGGTCGTCAGTGACCGACGATTGGTTCATATGCCATTTGTTCCTTCAGGATAATGGAGCCCATATGCATCATTGGTTTAAAATCAGGTTTTTTAACTCCCCTAGGTGGGCCCTCTGTGTCCACCACCCCGGTTCAAGCGCCGAACATTCGCATTTCGTCCTCTCAATTTTGTAAACAACACCGGGGCCACGAGAAGGCAGTGAGTAGGACTTCCCTGACGGAGGCTATATACGCGTGTCCATGTGAAAGCATTTGGAGAGGGAGAGCAGACTCTCCCCACTCTCGACCGTATCAGGGCATTAGGAGGCTATGAACTAGTAAAAGAACCTCCAACCACTCAAAATACTATTCAGTATTTCACATTATTGATTTTAACATCTCATAGAACTGTAATACACTGGTTTAGGCATTCCCCTTACAACGAATGGAATCATAGATCCTAACATCACTTGTTCTTGTTACAAAAATCGAATTACAACTATAGATACAACTTGGCCACATATTAATTAATGAAACAAGCTTATTTTAAAAAAAGTCAACGAAATTATTTATGTCTGCTAAAGAGCTCCGATGCATAACATAGTTGTTGGAAGATCAATTACATTATTTGTCGAAAACCTGTACTGATAAATAAATTACTGATAAACCGTAAATTCCGTTATGTTTCAGCGATAACATGAATAGAAGGAATATATTTGACAAAAAGAGTGCAATGTACCATGAAGGTGAATATATACGCTGTTGAAAACATAAAACGAAACACCTGTTTCAATGTTATTACTTTATTTCGACTGGCTAACTCTCTCTAGATAACGAAATAATTCCTAAAGAATAACATTTTGGTAATTAACTAACATACCTTAGTCAGCATTTCATTAAAATAAGCTGTCAAGCGAGCCAACAAACAAATTCTACCTTCCGGTTGACTTTCACTTCGAGTTTGATGTTGTTGTTGTTGATGTATAAGATGTTCTCTATCCGATTCTGGTGCACAACAACTGCTAATCGATGCGCTATTATAACCGTTAACAAGTTTTGTAATTTGATATGTACCAAAACTAATTGTCAGTATTGAGAAAACAATATAACCACTGAATAGCCAAACATCAATATCTGAAACATTTATTTTAATATTAAATAAAAAAGCAAATCATAAGATTATTGAAGATTAAGTTTATTTAACTTTTTAGAACCAACTTGATTTCTATGATTTGAGTGCTAATAACAAGTTAACGGACTATCAAGTTATGATGACTTTACGCATCATCAGCATCATGATCAACTTCGAAGTGTTCATAAATGTGCATTGGATCAAGCTGTCATACCATAACAGTCTATTGGGCCATCGAATAATATGCACAAATACTGTTATATCTTGAAATTGGATTTTTAGTATGTCGCGTATAACTTGAGCACTCGAACGCTAGGACCTTCTCAAGTTGCGAAATGAGAAGACAGAAGACAAGTGGAAGGAATGTTATTCTAAACAGTGTCAATTATGGTACAAAACTGTCAGGTATTTATAGTTTTTAGTAAAAACGAATTCATCACTATAGTTATCCGATCCTGATATGCTTGATGCTAATTACGATTTCCTCAGTAAACGAATGAAGGACAATGACACAGTGACACGATAAGCTAACCTAATCCGTTGTCCCAGGCTCCGCTAACTAAAGTGAGAAGTCCAAGACGAAGTAGCGGAAATATATATTCCGTAAGCAGCCGAAGTACAAGCAATCGCAATAGGAAGAAATCAAACCTATATATACAGCATAAAGTTGTCCTTGGAAAACATTACAAAATAGCACACTAAAAACATACAACGGACCAATATCGTTTAAGATATTTCCAAGTGCGAAATACAACTCGAAGGTGAAAGGAGCGCTTTTGGCGCGAAAACAAGGAAATTCAAATTCTCAAAATAAAATTACAAAAATAAGTCATTTACCAAGTAAGTTCTAGGGATTTAACATCCTCAACATTTCCGCACACAAGGGGTTATTAGCGTTTGTCCAACAGAGAAGCTACACGTAGTGATTCTGGAATATTCTTCCAAAAGCTGATCGAATGGAATATGTTCGGCTCCTTTCGAGCTTCCTCAAGTTCACCTCTGGACCATCCTCAAATCTCCCCCTTTTAAAGTCTCATGTGTAAGACTTTTTTCTCGGATACACCCGAAACTTGGTTACCACATTCCTCTTGCAGATCATCACTCTTGAACGTTGTCTCGCTTTGCTCTTCCGTCTTTTATATCGTCCACGTTCGTTCTGCTTAGGGCTTTTTTGAAATGAATCCACGAGCATTTGAAACGGGAGTCGACTTTGTGTGATCAATGCTCTGTCATCCTATTGAATTTGTTTATATGTCTTACACACGTTTCGACATTTATCTGGACTAAGTACAGTACATTTCCAATCCGATGTTCTATAACACTTGGTTCCTATTTCCTGTTACCCTGATACGTCAAGCACCCTCTCGCCCACCTGGAAGCTGCGAGTGACCGTCCGATACTCGTTCGTAGGTTTATTTGTCTTGCTGGGCGGCAACATACTATTAAAGACTGTCCTAATTTTCCTTCCGAACGTACACTCGGCTGGTGACTTTCCTTCTGGTACTGCCGTATTGGGGGTAACTCTGTAAGACATTAAGAGTTTACTGATCGGTTGTTCTAGAATACCTTCTCCTCTTCCAGTTCTTCCGTGAACACTTGACTATGTTTCGCCAAAACAACGTTCCTGAGGTTCTTCGCTGGTTCTTTAGTACTCACGCAACTGCATATATGTTTACTAGAGTGGTTTGCTAGCTGCAGTGTTTCTATTAGATTTAGACTCTATGTGAGATATAATGTTGCATTCGTCTTTGTATTTCCTTTTGAAAATGCACAGCATACCTCTCCAACAATATTTGATTTCCCTCTAGATGCACTATGGGCTAACTGGGTTGTTGGGAGCACCTGAGCTTTTCCAAAATGCTTCCAGGTTCTTCTACTAATGAGTGTGATGTCGGAAGCAGTGTCAAGTTGCAGGCAGGCGCGATGCGGACAAATTGAATACTTATATTGATCACCGAATGATTGCTTCTCTTTAGGCGTCAAATCTAACTACTTTTGTAAATAATTTAGATTAATGATAAAAATTATTCATAGAATTTGATTCTCAAAGAAACATACCAAAGATTTTTGTCGGTTCACTAGGCTGTGGTGGTAAATCCGGTGGTTCTGATGAACATGCACTTGAACAATCCATACATGAACAAGCTGGACCACCAGGATCACTAGCACGTTTCGGAACACGTTGATTACATTGATAAGCCAACGAATCAAATGGCCGAATAGTCTGAGAATTTTTATAAATTGACGAATTGACAACATTAAATCGAATGTCAAATGGACTACGACCACCATCAGTTGATTTACCAAGGTTCTCTAATAATAATTGACGTGTACAATCAGAAGTGCCGCACATCAAACTTATTGCACGATTACTACCAAATGTAACTTCCTGTCAAAAGATTTTTTAAAAAGGTAATGGTTTCATTCCGTTAAAAGACTACTATTGATTTTGGTAAGCGAATAAATAATTCGTCGATTCGTGAAGGTTCGTATGATAAGTTTTATTATTATTATTATTATTATTATTATTATTATTACAACGGTTTTAATTGATGCTGAGTTCAAGTTTCAATGTGAACATCAACACTAGGATGCAGGTACATTGAATTGATGATTCCCGAATAAGACGAAATGTCTGCAATAAATTACACTGCTAACCAAAGCTCGAATATACAAGAATATATCATATTCCTCCGGGAGTTTTGGAAAACTATGAAAAATGAGTTCTCCATGACATGGAATTTACATAGTTCCGTAAATAGTGGTAAACTACACCTGTAACTTGATATGAAACAGACGTTCCTCAATGTCTGATTATAAAGTTAAGACCATTAACAACAATAAGATAAAGAAAAACAACTTATAGCACATCAGTCATATTTTTTTAACTAGATTTTAAAGTAAATTAACATCAGAACCATTTAATATCACGAAATATGGTTTATCAATGATAACTCCAAGTTGGTTATTTCCAATATAAATACTGGAAATAACCCTACAACATTTTGCTGGATGTTTCACACCACCACTCAAACTACCCACCATAATGAACAACTTGACCACACAATAATTATTGTGGAGCTCAACTAACCTATTCACATATAATCACTATTTCTAAGGTGAAATTACTGGATATAATTTGTTTCTAGTCGCTTACAATACAAGTTTTGTGTACTTAAATGCAAGAAAAAAATATTCCCAATTTCAATCAATTCTACATGATTAAATTTATCGCGAAATTCAGTAAAATAGTAAGCAACAATGATACAACACAATACAAAGTGATCAGCAGAGTTCAACCACGTCTGTTGTGAGATAACAACTCACTGAAGACAATTGGTGAATGGTTGTTCAACTTCGTGGATTGCTTGATGTTAAACATCAACCCCATTGGATGCCGGCCGACTCAGTGGTCTATCGGTTGAGTGCTCTGGCGCGAGACTGATAAGTTCTGGGTTCGAATCTCTCGGGTGCGGGATCGTGGATGCGCACTGCCAAGGAGGAGTCCCATAATAGGACGAAACGGCCGTCCAGTGCTCCCAGGTTTTCCATGGTGGTCTAGCTTCAATTGACTCATGATTTCAACTATGCAAAATACTGAAATCTCCACAAAACCCCTACTAAGTATTCTTATTTATTGATTGATTTGAACACATAAATATTGGTACAAGGGGGCACCACATATATATGCGCCACACCTGTAAAAGTGTTATATCCGGAATTAAAATCCACTTTTACCCTATTGAAAAATCTATAGAATAAGCTGGTTATGTATCTTTCTATTTAATTAAATTAGTGAAGTAATTGGTAAGAAAAATGACTTTAAAATGTGATTCGGTCGTAAAACAGTTTCTAACTTCAAGAAGTAAGTGGGATCATATTTGGCAGGAAATCTTCTTGTAGGCAACAAAGTTCTGTGAAAGAAGTTGAAATGCTGGTCTAAATAGTACCCAATAAGATTTAAATAACTATGTAGGGAATATCAAGACTGCTACTCAATGATATTTATTTCCTAATATTCACAGAGTATGGTTCATAATCTCCAAGTATTTAAAGAAATACGCTGTTGACAGTACACTGAGGTCCCAAACCAGTTTAAACAGGATAACTCGACCTCTAAAATACTTGGATCAAACGACCAGTGTTTTATATCACAAGACATAAGCATCATTGAGAATTGAATAACTACTAAATCATAAACCATGGACTACCATAGTCATTTTATGAATATGTTCTTTAGCAGTCCTTTAAAAAAATGCCTCCGAAGTCGATCAGCGTAATGATCATATTTTTATGTAAATAAATATTTTAAATTTTAAATATTATATTACCTTACAACTATTGAAAAATGTATCAGCCATATGATCGGTCAATGTGTACGTAATAGATTCAACCAATTTCCCCTTAATGGTAGGCTCAATAAACTGTACTTGATTTGGATCACATGTCATAGCACAAAAAAGCAGTCGAAAATTAGCGAAACATGCTGGGCATCTAAAAAATTTTCAAAATTATTAAAATCACTTTACTAGTAAATCAAGAAGAAAATGGATTATAATAAGGTAGGATTAATTACGGCAAAAAAACATCACGCCAATAAAACCCGAAAGTACTGGTTAGACTGTAATATTAGCATTGTTTACACAGTTATTTCAGTACACATAAAAGTGTTACGAAAACAGCTGTTGATTTATAGACAATATAAAGCCTAGTGCAAATGCATATCGGCTTAAGTTGTAACTGAAAACAGAAATAAAGCTGTAAATAGATAGCTCTGTATGGCAAATATTTTCATAGGAAAGTAAAAACATACGAACATGTCTCTTAGCATTGATAATGCAACTAACTATTCGGGATTATAACTGGGACTATAGTTCAACAATCTACTATTTCAAAATTATGGACACAAATTTAAAGAAAAAAGGAAATGAAGTGATAAAAACTAGAAAAGGTGATGACAGTAGGAGAGAGACATTTTAAATTGAGAACTATTAAGACACGACTTATCTAGTCTACTATTATTTAAGCAAATTTCTTAACCTATGCTGACATTTCCTATAGTATAGTTTTTTTTTCAACCATCCGCGGTTTTGTGTTTTCCTTAGGAACTACTCAAATATTACCAACATCGATGATTTGACCACTAGTGTCACAAATTAACGAAAAATATTATTTAAATGATCTGAAGTGCTTTGATCTGCATTACTCTGAGTACATAGCTAAAGACGTCACGCTTAAATACAGTCTTCAGTAATAAGGATAGTAGGTTGATGAACCTGTGTTAATCCTGACAGATTTCCTTCCAGTGAAGGTCCAGCTTCTTTTTGAAAATGTTCACTGATGGTGCTGATACCACTTGTTCTGGTAAAGCGTTCCAGTCATTGACCACTCGATGAGAAAAACGGGACCCCACCTTTAATTTATTAGATCGCGGTTTCAGAACCTTCTTGCTATGACCCCGGAGATTATTAGTGCTGGAGGGAGCAAAAAGGTAAGACATATTAACCCAGATCATAATTAAAGATACGAAATGCCAGTATAAGGTCACCTCGCGTCCTACGATAAGATAAGGGGAAAAGATTTAGACGTTTTAAACGCTCATCGTAAGGGAGTTTGGAAAGACCCTTTACTAATTTTGTCCCTACACGCTGGACACGCTCAAGCGATTTAGTATCCTTTATCAGACAAGGGCTAGCTGCTTGGATACAGTATTCTAAGTGTGGCCTTACATAGGTGGGATATAAAATTCGAAACATATCCTCGTCGAAGCATTTAAATGCTCTGCGAAGCGACCATAGCGCGCGATAGCCTTTGGAAGCAACCGCACTGCAGTGCGTTGTAGTTTTTAAGTCGTGACTTATAATTACTCCTAAGTCTTTATGCGCATGAACGCGTGGCAGAGATGTACCATTAATGGTATAGTGGTAACTAATATCGTGCCCGATGTGCATGAACACGCTCTTCCTAGAATTAATTTTCAGGCCCCAATCATGAGCCCACCTAACTAATTCGTCTAAATCTGCTTGTAGATAACAACGATCAGTCTCATTTCTTATTGTTCTCCAGATTTTAACATCATCCGCAAACAATAACGTCGACGACTTAAGTAATAAAGGTAGTTCATTAATATACAGAAGGAAAAGTAAAGGGCCCAAGATGGTGCCTTGGGGTACACCACTTTTGACCGGTTTCTATTCGGATAGAGTTCCATTGACTCTCACTCTCTGTCTGCGGTCACATAAGAAGCTTCCTATCCATTCCTGTATAGCACCTGTTATACCAAAGCTCGAGAGCTTTTGCATAAGACCTAAGTGTGAAACCTTATCAAACGCTTTGCTAAAATCTATAAATATCACGTCGACAGACTGGCCGTTGTCTAGGGCAGCTGTCCAATCCTCTCTCGCAATGAGTAAGTTAGTCAAGCATGAATGCTTGTTACGAAACCCATGTTGCTGGGGGGTTAACAGATTGTACGAATCAATGTGGCTCAGTAGCTTAGCCCGAATTAATTTTTCAAGTAACTTAACTACTATACTGGTCAGGCTAACAGGCCGGTAGTTAGATACTATCCGTCTCTGACCATCCTTAAATATAGGACTAACTATGGCGTCTTTCCAGTCTCTAGGTAGTTGAGCCTGTGAAAGGGACATGTTGAAGAGCATCGTGAGCGGTCTTCAGATAATGTCCGCAAGCGACGACAGCAAACGTGGGTGTAACCCATCGGGGCCCGGTATCTTACAAGGTTTTAGGTTAGTTATCAAAGGAAGAACTATATCCTCTGTCACGTGTAAAGGTCCTATGGCTGGTATCTCATTGTCAACGGGACAAGTAGTTATAACACTACACGTAGAGTAGACTTCACTGAAATAGTTAGCAAATAACTCCGCTTTCGCCAGATCAGATTCAGCCAATAAAGCTGAATTTTCGCTTAACAGTAATGAGGGGATACCATCACTACGTTTCGTCCGCCTTTTAACGTACGAAAACAGTCGCTTCGGACAGGTACGGCTATCGTATGCCAACTGTCGTTCGTAAGCCGTGCGGGATTTAGCTATAATCTTTTTACATATATTCCGGATTTTTTTATATTCGCACTTAAATGATGCCTGACCTGTTGACAAGAATAAGTCCCAGAAGTGTTTCCTACGCTTCAACAGCTTCCGGGTTTCCTTATTAATCCATGGAGGGCAATATGATAACTTACGTGCTGACCATGGGATAAACGGTTGAGTTACGGATTCGAACGTAGACTTAAACCTATTCCATGCATCATCAATCGATCCATCAGCATCGACCGACCAGTCAATTGAGATAGCATAGTCCCTGATTGCCGGAATATTAGCTCTCCAGATATTAGGACGGGGTGGAGCTGATGCAAATTCTATACCATGTATCCGGAACTTAAAGGAAAGTACGACATGGTCACTATTCACCAGTGGGGGAAGATGTTGAATGTCAACGATATCTTCACAGTGGTGTGTGAGGACAAGGTCTATCAATGACGGATTATGTTCCAAGTCTATATGCGTCGGCTTAACGATACATTGTACAAGTGCACATTGAATAATTGATGACAGAAGGACGCTATCGAAACCCCCACATGGAGCTCTGAGCTCTATCCAGTTTATATGGGGTGCATTGAAATCTCCAACGATGAGACAACATTCTGCTTTACTCCAAGAACAGATGTGTTTTAGGATAAAGTCGTCAGCGAGATAACACGGACTACGATATATTCCTCCTATCGTCACTAACCCGTTTCTAGACCTAATTGTACAACATACTACCTCACACGTACCACTTACATGCGCCTCCGATACGATCGAGTTAATGCGGAAGTGGTCCCTAATATATAATATTATGCCTCCTCCCTTGCGACTTCTAACTCTATCACTTCTGACACAGATGTAGCCTGAAATGACTGGAGAACAGTCTATATCTACAGTGAGCCAAGTTTCGGTGATAACAATTATATCCGGATTTAAGTCGTCTACCATCAGACATCTTATTCCGAAGACTACGAGCATTCGTATAACACACATTTAGGGTGTTTTTGGAGACATGCGTTCTACCCACACAGGTCTCGGAAGCATTGGCTTCCAAGACCTGACTACCCGAAAACCCTTAATCGTAAGGTTCGCTTCACCGTTTAGCCTTCGAGTTTTTAACTCTGTTAGGGCATTCTTCCACTTGATCCGATCCTCAAGTGGCCAGTCAGGTCGAATACGAATGTTTGAGTCACGAGTTTTGCGTGAGTTATTTAGTAATACGTCCCGTTCCTCAAAATTACCGAGTACTAATTTGAGGATCCTTCTCTGTTGGGTTTCGCCTCCAACACACTTACCAAGTCTAATGACTTTCGAGATATGTACCCCTGGGACCTCCTCTGGCAGTATATTTCTGATGAGAGATCCCACTAACTGCAGGTCGTGGGCATGTCTCTTAGCGGGATCAGTGTCTTTCGATTCTGCCAAGTTCCAGATGATTACACTAGGCACCTGTTTAACTGCCTTAAACGTCGTGTTCACGGCCTTTGATCGTGATGTCAGATCCTGCCGGTTAGCTACCGGCTTCTTGCTATTAGCTTTCTTTATGACAGTGTCATGTGGGTCAAGCGAGTTACTCCCAACAACATTTGGTGAAGTTAGACTATTTCCATCCACAACAGTATTAATTATTTCCTTACATTTGGACTTGAGCGGAGTTGCCTGATGCTCAGGACGTGAGTCCAACGATGACTTAACGACTATACGCGCGCTTTCTTTGGATGTTTTTCCGTCTCTTTTGCGTTTCCGCGTAATCCATTTGCCACTATTCTCAGCATCCAGATTGGAACTATTCTGGACGATAGTGGTTCTAGCCGGGTCCTCAGTCGCTGCTAAAGCGACTGGTCCCTCAGTACTTAATGGCATGGCTTTCATTGGTTGTATCGGAGTACAAATTTTTGCTTCATGTTGCGAAATTGGGTGTCTGGTACCTGCCATGGCAGCATTTACGACACTGATACAATCTTCATTGTCAGTATCTATGTTGCCTGCACGGCCTACTTCGACCTTTTTAGCTAACGCTAGAAGGCTGATGGCTTCCTGAATGAGTAATGTCTTACTTGAGCAACAAAACATACAGAGCCAATGAGAATTTGGTTTCGAACACCTTTTATAGGCAGCAGGGCTTAAGCGGGTGCACATTTTATGAAACCACTTCTTACAATCGTCACATTGCATCCCTTCTTCCACGGGGAATAAGCAATATGGCTGTCCACACTTGTGTACAGAGCCGACCATCTTAGAATAAAACAAAATGATAGGCAAGGTAGATATGTAAGATAAATCACAACCTTATCAAATAAACAAGCCTCAGTCGACCAAGAATGCTTTGATGCAGTAAATACACAAAAGCAGAATCAAAACACACAAATACAATGTCACGTTAACTGAAATAAATTCAATTAAAGTGTAAACGGTAGTTTTGATACGTAATTTACGATCAAAACAGTGAATTAAACTCAACGTGAAACAATACCACTGTCCTTTTAAATAGCGCGCGCGAAAATTGGTTGTCGTAATCTTAACTAGCATTGCGTTTATTACATGATTCAAATGAAAACAATAGATGGGTGTTATGGAATTGAGATAATTGGGTAAAAAGCAAGCACAAGTATACCTTTTTAACAACATAGAAGCAAGTGAAGCAGATTTTGAAAAATAGTTCAACTGATCTTCATCACAACAAACTTTTGCATTGCCCACAGCATAATTAGGACATAGACTGGATAGTGTTTTGAAACCATCGTTGCTTAACGCTTTCGCAGTACCATTGTACGAACAATATTTCTGGTGTGCAGGATCAGACGAATCGCAAATACCATACCAAATACAGTCACTGGATACAGAGTGTATCCGTAAGATAAAGCATACCTAGAAATTGTGATAAAATTACGTCAGTATACAATGATGAATAAATTTCAAATTGTTGGCAGGGAACTTGTTAAAAAAGCATTTATTCGGATAGAACTTACGACTTTTTGACTTTTGTGTCTGTTCATACGGACTGCATGTACAACATGTTCAAACGGGAAGTTTTATTAAGTCCCCGTAAAGACATTGGAATCTGATTAGTCACAGCACGCTGCTAGGTAGGAGGTAGGAACCCCATCTAATAAATAATGAAGGCTGCTTTAACACATCACAGCCACTACCAGTAGTGATCTTGGTGTCATTGGAACGACATATGAAGTTCATAGCTCATCACGTAGCAATCTACAAAGGTGCCTAAGGCAATGAACAAACCACTTTAAAAGACATTTCGACCTGTTTGTCCCAGCAAATTTCATTTCGTTATCATGTGCTCCAATTAGCAAAGCGGAGCTGCAAAAGAAACCCGGATACTTTGACATTCACAAGAATGGAGACAGAAATTTAACCGGGGAGCAGCTGCGTTGTGCGAGAATTAACGCTCAACAGTGCTCTACTACTAAAGGATGAGATTAATTTTTCATTCCTTCTCAAAATTATCTTGCGTGACGTAACGATTATCAGGGTGTGGGTAGATTGTATTACACCAAAAACATTGGCTTTCTTTACACTGCTCATATTTCGCAAAAAGTGTAGTAGATTTACTTGAGTGAAACTGGTAAATTTATTCCATGATCTGAATGGATATGCAACATTTTTATACACTTTTAACACCGTCAATCATACGCAACACAGAGACAGGCAAGACCACACGTACTGACGGACGGTGTCAGGGTTATACTTGATTATCTGAACGAGAATTTGCTCCAAAATAGTTTGCTATACACAACCAATCACCATTTCTTGATGAAAGTAGTTGAGAAGATCAGTGTTTCGGTATCTGAATAGCTACTTGACTCCTAGAGGTAAAGTAAACAAGATAAACCCAGAGCTGCTTGAGCGAATATGGATCATGCTTGGCTTTTTTGCAACGTTAGCATGGATGAAATAGTTGGGCGTACAATGAGCCTATTTCTATGTGACCTGAATTCCCTAAGCAAAGGATATTCGACAAAGGAGTGTTTTGCAATAGCTGTCTATCAACGACTGCTCGAATATGTTTGTAGATTAAACAGGTACTAGAGTGTGCTTATTAACAGTAGGGGCGGTGATTTAATAAGTGATGCCGTCTCAAAATACTGACTAAGGGGACCTGAAATTATTTTACGTGCAACGAACTGGGAACTTCCATATGGATTATTATTTATTTATTTATTTGAACACATATTGGTATAAGGGGGCACCAGATATATATGCGCCACATATAATTTGCCAACTTGGATTGGTATGAAATGTGAAAAAGCAATCAGTTAAGGGATATTATTACATGCCTGTTAGAATGACTGAACTTATTTACTTGCTTATATGATTTGTGCATAAATTTACTTATTACTGTCTCCAATATTTTCCATGAAATTTCCACTGTTCAATATGTTGAGTATAGTTACATAAATCATATTTACATGACGTCATATTGACCCAAAATAAGAACAGTGACAAATTATAATCAGGTTTAGTTTGCCAAACTAGATACGGAAAATAATTCTCGCACCTTAGGCAGCTGTGTATTTCACAAGAGCTTCCTAGCCAATAAGTTAGGCGTACGAAATGGAAGTTTCTTACCATGGTCTATAGGGTAGTACCGTATATTCAGTACCTTTATCATCATTGATACTTAGTTAAAATTACTGCCTTGATACAGCGATGGGAATGTTTCAGTTAACTGAACTACGTGAAAGTTAGAAAATAAATATAGTGATTCACGCTTTATCTCCTTACTATGCGTTTCACAGTTCACTCATCATAACCCTTTAAAGACAAATAGTTATATTCAGTATGTTCCAAGTTTATGATACGTCATAAAAATTATGTTTGCAATCAACTGCCCACACTACATTATCGCTTTGCATACGACTTGGAATGTAATTTCGCACGGCTGTTTCTACAACGTAGTAGCGTATGTATTACACAAATATTTCACATTACTACAAAACTATAAAAGTATACGATAAGAAAAAGAAAAACGTCAGATCATTCGGATGCATTCTGTAAAAGTATAGATCGTCTCCAGTGGAAAACAGATTTGTTCACTCATGATCAATATTTTCCGTATAACTACTTTTATCCGGAAGCAAACAATCAGCCATTATCGAAAGTTTACTTACAAAAACACAAGCTACTACACATAGAGCCATACAAACGGTAAAATCCCAGTTTTGGCGCGACCTTTACAAGGACATTTATTGTTGTTGTGAGTAAGTTAAACAACAAAGCTTAGTTTCCGATAAAAAATTTTCGTCGCCTTCGTCATGATCTAGTACAAGCTGGACAGTTTTTTCCCTCATTTTTGTCACGCATATTAGCAACCGATTCAAGTTCTTTTTGATATGTTGCTTAGTTGGCTTGAGTATTTTCTCAACGTCAACTATGAGATTGTTATACCATTTCATAAAAAAGAATCAATATAAAATTTCATCGAACTGTGAACCTTTCGGATATATCAGTTTCCTAATGAAAATCCAAGAAAAATATTTGGGAATGACATTGTGCTCCTTTGTGCAGAAAAATATCGGATTAACTGTGAGTAAAACGATATTCATACCCTTCCTCTCCCATGCACTCTATATACACTGATGTGGATCGATTTTTACCAAGTACTTTAAGAATCAAGATAGAAGTGAATCTGTGAAGCTCATTTTCACAGCCTTCTCCTAGATTAGTAAGAGCGTTACTGTGTAGATGACGTTTACGATGTAGCTTTCGGTCACAGCATGTTGTGCAGAAGTCCTATGATATCAGAAGACTAGACATGAAGGACTTGTGCTCGTTAAACCCGTGTTGAGCTTCACGAAGGATAGTTTCGTGCCCGTGTGTTTCTGGTTGCAATGAACAGTGAAGTTGGCTATAAAAATTTCTGACATCCGTAGACTGGAAAGAAGTTCATCATCACACCCTTTGAGGGCACAGACTCAATGGCTTCTAAGTTTTTGTTAGATCTTCAACACATTTAAATATTCCAGGTTAGTAATGAACTACTAATAGCTTGACCAAAAAGTACTTCCTGTCGTTCCAAGATTTGTTATTGCGTCTGTATCCTAATGTTAAGTGACAGCTACCGTCAGGTCCTTCAGGGAAACTTTCCGTTTGTGGTAGGCAATCCGTTTCGCCTGTGGTAGACACTCTGTTCATCGCCTTAGTCACAATCCCCTCTTTACAGGTGTGTATTTTATTTGAACTACAGTTTGTACCATAGCGTTTAGAACAATATCCATCACTATCACCCAGTGATCATGCATTGTTAACTTCCATCACTTTTGTGGTAATCGGGTGTACTCAAGGTGCTCCCTTATAGTCGCTGCAAAAATGAAGGTATTCTCGCCCCTCAGAGGCATATTGTTTGCTATGAGGTTAAATATGATAGTCCCCTGGTTACTAATTGAAGGTTCCGAGAGTGGTCCTCTAAGAAAACTACCTGTTTTTGTTTAACTACCTAGCCAGTACTAAGACCCTTATACAAATCCGTGATAACTGCTACTGTGCTCATTGCTATTGTGTGGTGCATATGACTTTGGTGTCTCATTGTTAAGGTCTTTGCCCGTTCAAATACATAAATAATTTCTAGGCATTAGAACCTGTGGGGTATTAATGTTTTCCTTCAATCAAGTATCTTGTGTTGTTTGTGATAAAGCACCTTCAGCATGTTCAGGTATTTCTACCAGGTTTATAATATATCGTATAAAGGCTTTGAATAGGATGCTAGTGCACATTGCTATTCCACTTTCTATATTTTTGTGCTTCATCTCATCGGAAAAGCGTCAAGTCAAACATGTGCACTTCCTTGTCCAATATGTTTGTAGCGAATCATGTTTCTGTTAGAACTATGATCTTTGGATTCAACTAGGAGCATATGCTTTCTTATCTCTCCTGCTTCACTTCTTAGTCCTCCCACGTTGTTGAAGAGAAAATTAGTAGTTTGTTTAGTCACTTGGTGCTCCTTCACAACAGTATCCGATATTCAAAGTGGGTTGGTAGTTCTATTGAGACTGAGAACCAGAGGAGTTTTACATTTGTAGATGTCCCATCGGCGTGACCATGGTCCATAAATATCTAATGCGCATTTATCAGGCGACACTTTCAGCACTTAGGACTCATTTAAATGCATTACATGTTAGATCAGTGTGATGCCATGCTGGATTGATTTAACCATAATACAATTGTTGGAAATTCTAGAGGTATTATCGATATAAATCCAATTCATTTACAAAGAGGCTTAATTCTAATGCCACTAGTTAATTCAATTATTAAAGGAGACTTGATCTAGTTCATTATTGCTGTACTTTTTAATTAATACAATCACCTAAATATACATTCACGAACGCTTGTACTACAGTTTTTAAGTAATCCAGTGGTTCCTTAGAATCGAGTAAGATATATAGAACATAAAAATATTATATACCCATCTGTCTTTGCTGTGGAGCTGAAAAGTACCACCTAAAATTCGGTGATGTGTCTGTGTCAATAATAATTTAAGTAACTTTGAATACATGTTGTTTATAATACGCTATCAGAAGGCACACACAAAAATTTCCTGACTTAATGTATCTCTCACAAAGAAGTCAGCAGCAGACTGAATGGGAATAACCACCTAACATACAAATCCTTAAGAAGATTTTAAAAAAATTGATCATATTTTATACTTCATCCAATGCAGCAGCTTAATGTAATAAATTATCCAATTTCCTCTTTCTCTTTCAATGCAAATAATTTTATTGCGATCTTGAATCTACATAAGCTCATTCGTTTATAGATAACATATTGTTATTGATAAATCCTCAAACTGGATTATTGCTAATATTTAGTAGTTTTTTTCCACAAAACTAACACAATACTATTGAATGATTCGCTGTAAGATTATCTAATCAGTTGAAACACTAAATATACACTCATACAAGCCAGTAAAAACAAATGAATACTATAGAACCTAAAAGACGCCAGATAACTTAGTACATTGTTTAGACAGCTTCCATAAAACTAATTTTACACATTTATTCCATCAAACGTCAATACACATTCACCTTCAATAAAGGAAAATCGTTTCACTCCGATTGTGTTTACTCATTCTTACTGTACTTTGGTTGTTTAGTACCACTGTATATACTACTGAAATCAATTATTTAAACACATTGAAGAACATTTGTTTTTTAGTTCCTACTTGATTCATTTCTCCTCAGTCATCGAGCACAAAGTTAAATAATAAAACTTCTTGTCAGTTCAATAGTTAGATGAATTTAAAGCAAAATCACTTTAAAAAAGTGGAGTATTTCTATTATGCTAACTTTAAATTACCTCTTTTTCAAGAGGGTTACCCATTAACAAAGTATATTTCAACAAGAAAGAAAGAATTCATGAAAAGTCATGCATAAAAAGAGGAGAAAAAATCCCAGAAATTAAGAAAGTAAGTAAACAATGATATCAATATTTTTACTTGCAATTGTTAGAAAAAGAAGCCAAGAACAAAAAATGACATCGATTTTCGAATTGCCAAACAGAAATGCTTAATAATTACGTTTAAATTAACTCCAATGATTTATGCTACTAATGAGTAGTTAAATGTTTAATACTCAAATCTTATATATACATATGCAAAAAGAGAGACAATCATTCAACTAAATTAGTACAGGTAAATGATAAAGGATACACTAATCAACAAAAGCTCTGATTATAAAATAAGGATAGATGAAATGTTTTCATGCTTAATACATAGATAAGATAAATGCTTAACATGAAGAAAGCTGGTTCCGAAATATGGAACTATTTTGGGTGTGAAGATTTCGATATATGATTTATTTTTTTGTTTTTTTTTACATTATGAATGAGTTTCATTTTTGTTTCAAAATTAAATGCAAGAACGTTTTGTGAAATACTTTTTGGTTAAACAAATTTTGTATTCTAAACATTCAGAAATGAACATGGCTGATCGTAAAGTCTTTTTTTTTAAAATATGGAACATTATCACTTGGATACTCTGATGATAGTTGGATTACGTAAGTGGATTTGAGAATGTTGCTCTTGTTGTCTTTCTATTGAAGTCATGGAATTGACATTCGAAAAATTGAATGAAGTCATTTCATTTATTATAATTGATGTATGATTGAGCATAGAAATATTAGAACTATTAATATTCCAGAAAGATTACACATAATAGCGGAACATTTTGGATAACAGAATAATGCAGCAGATACAACAGCATTTGGACGATAGAATGTTTTAAACCATTCAGATTTTTCAAATCGATTTCTTGTAGCAACTTCAATCTAGAAAATTATATAATAAGAAAGAAAAAAAAGTGTTAATAATGTGATCAAATTTGATTTTTGAGCACTATGTGCAATCGAAAATAAGGCAGTCATATTTGGAATGAAGTGGTTAATCGAAGAAAACTAACAGGAGACTCTGATAGTAGAATTATTACAAATTAAGTCAATCAACTTATTAAAAACCATCACAGAAAGTAAATATCCATGAAATCTTTGATCTGCTATTAACTAAATTACTTTCTTACGCCTGTTACTACCAATGGATCTTAGGCCACCGACCAGCATTCTCCAACTCACTCTGTCCTGGGCCTTCTTTTCTAGTTCTATCCAGTTCTTGTTCATTCTTCTCATGTCCGCCTTCATTTCTCGGCGTAATGTGTTCTTTGGTCTTCCTATTCTTCTTTTGGACTTCGGGATTCCATGTGAGGGCTTGCATTGTCACGCAATTGGGTGATTTCCTCAAAGTGTGCCCAATCCACTTCCAGTGCTTCTTCCTGATTTCTTCCTTCACTGGAATCTGCTTTGTTCTCTCCCACAGTGACTTGTTGCTGATGGTGTCTGGCCATCGGATCCGAAGTATCTTGCGTAGACAACTGTTGATAAACACTTGTACCTTCTGAATGATGGATTTCGTAGTTCTCCACGTCTCCGCCCCATACAGAAGAACTGTCTTGACATTTGTATTGAAAATTCTGATGTTGGTGTTGGTTGACAGACATTTGTTTTGAGCTCCAGATGTCCTTCATTTGCAAATATGCCGCCGCCTGTAGCTCCTCCGGGGGCTACTGCCAATCCCGAGCCCGGGTAAAGGAGGAGGGTTGGGCATGGAGGTTAGCGACCCCATCCCGTAGAAAACTAACTCGCTAAGAAAGCGCTAA